CCCGCGGGTGAGGCAAACACGTCGCCTACTTCTACTTGATAGGTTGGCAACAACCTACTTGGGAAGTGGATAATGAGGAGACTAAAATTGATCTTTTATTACTGACAAATAAAACAGAATTTAGATTACAGTTCAATTAAATGGCTCTTGGTTACGAAATGAATAAGTGTTGTGCCTAACTGAGTGAAGAATGGCCTAGCACAGGAGCATAAGGAACCAAGGAGCATAGGAGTTAACAAGAATAAGAGCAAGGAGCATAGGAGCATGGACTAACGTACATAGGAGCATGGAATAGGAGAATATGAAACATGGAGCGTAGGAGCATGTAACTAACTAGAACAGGAGCATGGATTTGGAATTTACTTTACATTAATGATTTTACTTCCTTGTCTGGACTAGAGAAGAAAAACAGAAAAATTACATAATGAGAAAAACACAGCACAGACATTAAATAAACGAGCACGAAAGCCAAAGGGTTGGGCTAAAAAGCAATATAGCTCCCCCTGCAACATCGTTATGTCATTAACATTGATAACTGAGCTTACTCTGAGCTATTACTTTTGGAGGAATATTGCAACATCTTTGAAAGAATTGGAATTTGGAAAGGGTTTTGAGTGTCTTGGTCTGCTTTTAAGCTTCACTGTATGTGACAGTTCAATAATAAACATGGCGCAATTGATAATAACTGTCAAAGGATTTTCATCTGCATTTGTTTCTAGTTTGTGTTGCTATTACCTGTTGCTTCCTTAATATTCTTCAACCTTTGGGAAGAGGTATTTCAGTTGCATTAGGCATATGACGCTAGAAGGGCTGAAAATTTACTGGGTCATGACACAAGATATGTTTTTTAAAGCTAACTTTTAGTTGTTGCTTTTCCTTGTTAATATATTAACTAATGCCTGAAGCAACTGCCGTATGCTCACCAATAATTTTGGAATCCTTGCCATCTGCTCACCATCAATTTTGGTGTCTTTGCCATCTACTCACCATCAATTTTGGCATCCTTGCCATCTGCTCACCATCAATTTTGGCATCCTTGCCATCTGCTCACCATCAATTTTGGCATCCTTGCCATCTGCTCACCATCAATTTTGTCATCCTTGCCATCTGCTCACCATCTATTTTGGCATCCTTGCCATCTGCTCACCATCAATTTTGGCATCCTTGCCATCGGCTCACCATCAATTTTGGCATCCTTGCTATCGGCTCCGGGCTCACCATAAATTTTGGCATCCTTGCTATTGGCTCCGGGCTCACCATAAATTTTGGCATCCTTGCCATCTACTCATCATCAATTTTGGTGTCCTTGCCATCTGCTCATCATCAATTTTGGTGTCCTTGCCATCTGCTCACCATCAATTTTGGCATCCTTGCCATCTGCTCACCATCAATTTTGGTGTCCTTGCCATCTGCTCACCATCAATTTTGGCATCCTTGCCATCTGCTCACCATCAATTTTGGCATCCTTGCCATCTGCTCACCATCAATTTTGGCATCCTTGCCATCTGCTCACCATCAATTTTGGCATCCTTGCCATCTGCTCACCATCTATTTTGGCATTCTTGCCATCTGCTCACCATCAATTTTGGCATCCTTGCCATCTGCTCACCATCTATTTTGGCATTCTTGCCATCTGCTCACTGATTAATGTTGCATCCACCATCTACATTGGTTTGCCTTGTAGTCTTTTGGTTAAAAAAGGGACATCCTTGACCTATGTTGTGCCATGCTTTACAACCTGATAATCTCACAGTCCCAAAAATGTCAGAAAAGCTCTCGTCATAGCCCTGAAGGTTGCCATTTTCCTTACTAGCATCACCGCATGTAATGCCATCATCCAGTCACTGCATGTATCTCTTGCTTGGTTTGATTGGTCATCAGTCATTCACAGCAATTATAATGCAGGGAAGTCTTTGTCAATCATTGGGCATTTGCCATATCTATCATAATGCTTGTACATCTGTTCTGGTCATCAGGCAATAGCCATATCAATTTTGATGAGCGTACATTTGGACTGATCATCACACACCAGTCGTAATGATCATAATTTGCAATCTAAGGATTGGCATTGCAACAGAATTTGGTCACCAGTTCTTTTGTTCTGCTTCTACAGTAATTGTTGGATTTGTTGCAGTGTAGCAGTTTGCCTATTGTTGTGCGGGTGTGATGAACTCATCATCAGCTTATATTTGTCTATTGCAGCTACTTAATTTATGGGGAATTAAAGTTGGTGTTTTCTGAGTTTTATTAAACAGAGTTAAAACAAAGATACATAATTTATTACATGGGATCAGCAGTTTATGAGAGACATCAAGGATTGTGCCAGAACAAGTAGTTAAGAACTTGCAAATTGAGTGGAACATGAGCAGTTCAGAATTAGCGAATAGGAGGAACATGGAAGTAAAGAGTTTGAGACTAGAGAGGAACATGGACAGGTGATGATGCCTATACTATGGTGCAGATACTTTCAATGAGCACTTTGATCAGACTATTGCACTTGCTGGTTGAATTCTGTTTATACTGTAATACTGTAAAGAAAATAAGAAAAGAACAATATTAACTAACACAAAGTTAAATTAATGCTCTACCTGCCCACTCAATATATTATTAAAAATGAGAATAAAGATCATGTAGGCAGGAAGGTTGTGCTATAAAAATAGTATTTACAACCCCCGGTAACAGCAGAATATTCAAGAGTATTTAAAAATCAATAATTGCAGGGTAAATGTGTCAGCAAGATCTTCTGAAGATGTTAATTTTGCTGATAATAATTGAATTCTAAATAAACCCTGCATGTGTAATTGTAGTGATTAGATCCGCACAAAGTTTGAAGTTGAAAGCGAAGAGTGACAATTTTAATTGCATCAGCTGAATGCCCTTGTTGAATTGGCATGGGAAGCTGTTCTCTAATTAATGCAGTGCACCATAACATTGCTCTCCCCCTTGCCCACTTTAAATGGGGATTTTGCTCTTGCCAATGAAGCTATAATCTACATTCATTTCCCTCATAAAACCACCTTTATCTTTGTTGATTTGATCAATCAAAACCTGTGTAACTGGGTACCTATCAATTGCTATGTAGAAATAAACTACCTAAATTTTGTAAATTGAGAAATTAGAATGTTTCTAGCAAGAACTCTGGAGCTTAATAATACAGGGTTATTCTGATTGATGGACCCACATTAATAAATTTGTAATTATTTAACATGTTAAGTGTGGCATGACCCACCGGTGGGTTGTAGCCAATATCCCTCTGCCCACCGGTGGGATGCGCAGCAAAAAATGGCAAAAATGTTTGCCATGCAGCAAAAGAGAGACATTGTATTTCATTTATAAATATGTAGAAAAATTTGAATCTCTCTTTCCATTGGTGTATAAATTATTCATTTTGAAATTGTCCATAGATAAAAATAAAATTTTAAATTGTGTCAATCATTTAGCATAACCCTGTATATCCAGAGCTTTTGTTCCTCAACTGCTAAGCTGCAAACTTGTAGGTTTGCATGTCATCATTACCATAGGAGTGGTCCTGAGTGGACACCCCTTAAACTATTTTTACATTTTCATTCTAACTATTTTGTTTTAGAATTTTTTTATTTATTGCTCTGATTAGGTGGATGATGTATTTTAATACACCAAAACCCATGGTTTTGAAACCATGGAACAAGGTGTTTTCGGGCTGCAATACAAATAAATCTAATTAGTAGATCTGTTTATACTGTCTACTACTACTAAATGGATCTAATTTCTAAACTGTTCATTCATCATTGCCAGATAAGAATCCTTTCCACCACAACTTCCCTCTTCCCCAACTTCCCCTCAAACCCAGTACCTTGCCTGAACATTATCATAATTGGCTGCTAATTATTATGTCTGGTTCCCATGTTCTCACATATAAACATGTATAACGGAAATGAATTACTTTGTATTCAAATATTGTAATGATAAATTCAAAATTTTTTACCAGCACTGAGCTTAGCAGTTTTTTTTTTTTCATTGTGGTCAACATGCATTTATTACTTCTCATCATAACTTCTTTGTAGTTTTCAATAATAATTTTAGGTTTTCATTTGGCTGTTTCATGTTAAATTTTTAATTGCACCAAAATTCAATATGAAACAAATTTACGACTAGTAGAGTAGTAAAGCAATTATTGTAAGCACAAAAATAGTGCTGTGAATTTTATATTAGGATATATATAGCTGTAATTGTATTCTTCAAAAATTCTGACAATAAAATGAGAACCAAAATGGGTTATCTGATGATTAGACACATATGTATATATAATGGAAGGAGAAGTAGACTAACTGCCAAAGCCAAATTATCAAACTTGTGATGCAGCTAAAAATTATTGAATTTGCTTTCAGCAGCTATGAGATACATGCCTTCAAGGTTAGTTGCTTGGGTTCTTTTAACAACTGAAACAAGATGAAAACACATAAATCTACTGGCATTGAATTGCACCAACTATTGGGTTTAACCATAGGGGATAACAATTTAACGAAAGCATTTAAGAAAATTAGATATTCTTGAGATACATAGATAAATATGAGTTTTTTCTTTCTTAAGATTTCTCCTGAAACAACATAGGCACTGGAGTATCTTCTGTTGATAAGTATTTCTTTCTACCCAATAGTCATGGTAATTCCAATAAACATCAGAGTAAATCTTGTATAAAAAGAAACACTAATTTTCCTTTCTGGAACTGGATTCTTTGTAATAAGAGAAACTATGGACTCAGAGACCACATAGTCTTTGCCTGTGGCTCACAAGTGTTTTTATTATTATTATTTTTTTTGCAGTGCTTCAATCATGAACTGGGTTCTTCATTTCTATTTTATTTCAGCCATGTTTCATATTCATGCCAAAAATTGAGTACCATTCGATGAAATATACCTATTTTACATTGATTCAAATATAAATTTTTTTTTTGATAAATATGATGTAGACAATTCCTGATTTCTGGTAAATTTTATTGTTTTTGAACTATATTGAACCCTAATGAAATTTTCTTTGTTAAATTTCTGGCACATTTCAATGTGTCCAATGTTTGGCCAGTTAGGAGTTAGCAGTTCCACTGATCTTACCATTGATTATATGCTGTTTTAATGCCTGGATGTTAATTTACAATAAATTGAATTACTCTTCCCTTTCCAGATTTTGATTTATACTTTTGTAATAATGGCATCTGCATCCAATGAATTATTTTCCAAAGACTTCTTTAGAGATGGAAAATTCAGACCTCTAAAGTTTGGGAGCGGCTTCTTGGATGAGTCAAACAATGAATTTTTGTCCATTACTTGTGAGTATCCAATAACCATTATCACATGACTACATGAATTGTTATGAACTATTTACTGTATATATTGGTAATTCTGTTTGGCACAAGTTAATAAAATTGTTATTTCCAATTATTTAAAATGAACTGGTGAGATAATTACATACAATCACAAAGGTGCTATCTGCAAGAAGATTATATACATATATCATGGTTCTCTATTTCAGATGACTTCAAGCCTCCCAGCTCCGAGACAACCGAGACCACCCTTGATATTGGAAGTGATAACAATGTCAATATCACAGTTCGCCAGGAGAGTGATGAAGTCACCACCTATAAGGGGTCAGCTCAAGAGCCATCAAAAGATTGCTTCCTGATCATCGACCACGTTACTGGCGAGATCACTCTTGAAAGAGTCTCAAGCGTTATCAGAGTCAAAAGAACTCGGTAAGTAATTTGAAAACTTTCTGCAGAATAATGAATTAGTATTTAGTGGATTTGTAATTTTGTTTAGCTAGATTTTATAAAGGTGTTTTTAGTGATCTTTTGATTTAGGGGTTAGCCCCATCTAAAGGTCTGTGGTCTGCCTGTAATGGTTCCAGGTCACAAAACAAAACAATAAAACAGAGCTCAAGAGAACAAACAGAAAATAATCAACGAAAAAATATATTAAATTGAAATTAATGGTACATGAAGATGGAATATGAAGGTTAGCAGGTTTGTAAAAAGACAGTCCAGGGCTGTGAGTGAATGTGGTAACTAACATGAGAACCAAATAACCAGTAGCCTAAACTGGATTCAACAGAACAGAATAAACAAAGATAATTGGTAAACAAACCTAACTGAGCCAAAATTATAATGCATAAACTATATTAAACCGAAATAACAAAACAAAAGATCAACACCTTGAAAATTAAAACTCCTCCTTGGCTGCGGGTTGAAAATTGAGTATCAACACCATGAAAATTGCGCTTTGGCTGTAGTAGAATTAAGGCCAGGCTCTGAGAATGTCAATAAGGCAGAGCCAGTTGCAAAACAAGAAGGTGGTGATCTTACTGGTGGCAAGTAATGGCGGGAACAGAATGGGCTTGTAGGAGCAGTTACAGCAGGAGTCTCAACACTGGACGTGGTTGGGCTCAAAGGAGGCCCCAGCACTGGCTCTAAGCTCGGCTTGCTTGCATGTGGCACAAGAGTTGACCAAGACTCCACTCACACGTGGCCCTGGTCAGCTAAGACTCGCCTCACACTCGTATAGAACTGGCAAAAAAATTGCCCAATACTCGTCCCAAACTGGCCTTAGGCTGACTGCTCTGCAAAAGTGCAGGAACAGGAACACATGAAACCTATCCACTAGTAAAACACTATTAACCGGTAAGAAAACCCTACCTAATATTATGCTCTATAACCAATAATACAGAAGAATGATATGTACAACAATCAATTTACAATTTAGGAATAAGGTGCATGGCGAGAGTATTCCCATGACTCGCCTATAATAGAGCGAAGACTAGTTTTATTAGCTGGTCAGCAACAGGTTAGCCATGGAGTCAGCATGGCCAGAAATCAGGCTCATTTAATGCAGCAGGTCAGAAGGGCAAAACTACTTCGGTCAAAAACAGCCCATACAGGCGATACAGCCAATAACAACCCATGAAGGTGACTTTAACTGGCTCTGGTATTCAACCAATCTTGATCACTCTAGTATTCAAAGACTGGGACGCAAAAATAGAGAATTAATGCAAGATACTTGAAACCTAATAACTAATTCATTTGCCAAGATGTGGCTCCTGACAGCGTTAGTTGAAAAAACTTGGCATAGTCCATGGTAGACAATTGACACTTTAGATTTTATAAGTCAGCTTCAAATCAGAGGCTCATCTTCTTTGATCTGTGTCGGTATTATTCCCGTTTTTAAGTTCCACTTCAGTCGATAACCTTGTATGAAATCGGGTCATTTTTCATGGCCTCGTTCGTTCAATTCAATCGATCTGGTTTCTTTTGGCTATCCTACGCCTTAAAATTGTATAATTGTTATAATATTATGATTAATATTAGTTTACTTTTTGCAGAGAGCTCAACAGTAACCGTCAGAGACCCAACACCCCATCGGGCTCTTGCAGAACAGTGAGTTGTCAAGCCAGTTACACTAATGTTTTCATATCTTAATATTTGATGTAAGATACGTATATCATATACGTATATTTTAGATACAAATAATCCTTTTTTTGAGCTTACATTTGTTCTCATTACATAATATATGAGAGCTATTGAGAGGTATATTAAAAGCAAAAGTGAACTTCAGAGTTATATTATCCGTATTATATATTATCAGTTATGTTATCAGTATTTTCTTTGGTCATCATCCTAACTTCGCATGCAACAATGCTTGTAATGATGCATTGCATTTCTAGCTCCCTAATTGCTTTGTTTTTTATTTATACAATCATTTTAATAATAATAATAATAATAATAGCGGTTTCAGCGTTTATTAGGCCGTAGGCCTGTCGCCGATTCTTAACATCGCAGAACATTCACAGCATATTGCGGTCTCGAACTCACAACGCACTGCTACAATTGTGCTGTGCTTAACCGCCCGGCTTATTTTATTTTACATTAACTTATTTTACAGCAAAACTCCTCGACAATGGAGTCCATGCCCTGCTTGGGAATGTCTGACGACGACAGCATGGATGAGGATGCGACCAACAGCCATGTCAGTCCCCGGGATGCTCCTCATATGTCCGTCAACGCCGCCCACATGCTCCCCACTGCAGTAGGAGTAAGTCTTGCTGTCTTGCATCTTAAAACATTTCTCTAAGATATATCAACCGTCTACGGTGCTCTTTTTTGAAGAATTGGTAATGAGAGTTGGAAAAATTAGTTTGTGAGTTTCATCACTATTGCTGGACGTATTGATGTCTTTTCTGAATGATTGGTAATGAGAGTTGAAAAAGATTAGTTTGTGAGTTTCATCACTATTGCTGGACGTATTGATGCATTTAGTTATGCACTTTTATTCGCGAGTTTAGCACGTATGGTTAAATGTTTTGTAAGTATCCTAAATTGTTAAAGTTGACTTCGACTCCTGATAGGATAGTTGTTTAATACTCTAGAAAATTAACCTTTGTTCATGCCAGTAATCGCGCAAAATTTTTACATTTTGTGAATGACACATTTTTATTTAGCTTTTGTGTCGCACAATAATGCGAGCCTTAATGTACTTTGATTTTGTTCTTCATTGCTGGATTAGGATTTGGCTTAGTAGAATCTATTCATTTACTTGACCTTAGTAATTAATGCAAATTTTCGATTATAAAACAACGGTTTATTAGTATCATTCTAGTCCTGCTAAATATGTTTCGAAATTAGTTACATGATTACCCTTACCCTTAATACATGATTACCTTTCATTACAACATTTACTGGTGTAATATTATAATTGATGTTGGTTCAAGTTCAATATTATTTTGTCAGGGTTCAAACTTGTCTTCCTCGTCGAGTTCTTCGGAGTCCTCTTCTTCAGACTCTGATTCTGACTCAGACGATGAAGAGAGGAGAGCAAAGACGGAGCCGAAACACAAACCTACTCCTATGCCCCGTGACTCTGGTAAGCATGAGAACTACACTTAAAAACTGTTCAATTATTTTACCTGGTCACTTATCGTTCGCTTTAGGCTGATTTGTAATCAGCAGACTATTACAAGCAGCACGATTAAATGACTTCGGGAAAAACCGTCTTTCATCTTACCTGTGAAAGCAGTTGCTTTATAGGTATACTTATTGAAAAACATAACCCATAGAATGTTCAGTTCTCATTTATATTGTGATTAAATTTGTGTCTGTGAAAATTTATTTCATTGAACTGTTAAACGAATATTTTCTTGTTTATCTTCTTACCTCGATCATTCATCGTATTACCTCGATAGTTTCAATTGATTTTTGATAGCATGGAACCAACTTAATGGATTCTCTTATTCCCAGGAATGTCTAAAGTTTTGATCAACGATTTGGAACTTTCATCAGCCTCTGAAGATGAGTAAGACTAGAACAAGCGGCACTACTGGATCCTGCTCCTTGTGATATGCAAGTGTCCTAAAGACCGCTTCTGTGCAATGTACTTTTAGTAATCTCTCTGTACTTGTATTACTAAAATTTTCACCGTTTAATATAACGCTTTGAATGGTATGGTCACTAAGCTGCTTACTTATTGCCATTGGCGAATATTTAGGCTGCCGAGCTCATTGGCTAAGTTTAATTTGAATTTAGCTTCTCGCACCTTCGATATTTCTCAAGAATTCTGTTGCGCCTTTCAGAGATTGATCTGGTGTAATGGTAGCCGATTAATTTATTCTTAAACGTTGTGCTACTTTTAGAGCCATGCTTCATTTTTCCACCTGTTTCTGAACCCTACTTAACTCACTCCGTTATCAGAACCTTGAAGCGTTGAGCAATTTGCCCTTCAGCTCATCTAAAGCTAGAAGAAAGTTGTTGGGGTTTGTATGAAGAAGCTCTGAAGCGGTACCATTCACGCCGCGAATGCGTTATCTTGGGCTCTTAACAGCGTTTTACGATGTGAGATGTATAACGGCTAGTGATTCATTCATATTGCAATTCGACTTATTTAGAGTTGGTTTTTGGTTCTAAAAATTGCATACTTGTATCTTGTTTGAGACCATTTGTGTGACTAATCTGCGACCAATAACATAGCTTACTGAGCCTCAATACTGGTAATTTTATTGTATTTAAGCCTGTTTTTTTAACTGAAATGCGAATCATGAGGAAGAATACAAGTCATTAGCGAGCGTTATCAACAGTCAGCCAGTCAATCAAAGTCTTGTAAATGTGAGTCAAAAAATCTCTAGTTCAGCATTTAGTAATAAGACGATTTTATAGCTTCTGTAGGTAATGCGTAATACTTGGACGTTGTGAAGTAGATTATCCTATCATATGTTCAATGCTCATGTGTAGTTTCATTTGTATAAACATGATATCAATCAAGGATCGTTCTGTGATAAGAGGACCCAATCGTGTGCCAAATGAAGGCGCGTGAAGGGGTTAAGAGCAATGTAGACTGAGAGACACTGATTAGGTTAATTGAGGCGCATTGGTATGAATTTCTGTTTATGAATTTGATAAATAACTTTAGAGATATGAACGCAAATTTGGGTACATGTAGTGTAAAACTTGTGAAGATGTCATGAAAACAAAAATACTGGAAGTTCTGTAGCCCTTCTGTTCATGTGAGGTTTTCAAGTGATTTAGATATTAAATTTAAAATGGAGCGACATCTGTATTTTTGTAAGAAATTTTATACAACATGCTCAGTATGTCTTCATTTCCCTTACCTAAATTTAAATGACGAACTTTGAAAGTGATTCATACGGAGATTCAGCTGAGTCGTCTCACTTATAATGGGGGCAATCACCATTTGAGTCGTTCACTGGGCATTTATTTCTCGTAACGACAACTGGACCTAAAACTTACGCTTAATGTGAACATCGGATGAAGTTTGGGATCGGGTAGAAGAACACGTCTCATTGTGCTGGGCTCACTAAGTGCAGTCCATTTCGGTGACGGTATTGCCGTTGTTTATGATGGTGATTTCGTCTGTCAAATCGACAAGCGGCGCAGCTCTATTGTCTTCAACAGGCGTGACTGCTACTGACTTGTCTTCGTCTGAGTCGAGGGTAGCTTGCAATTGATGGAGGGCGGTGAAGAGAACATGCAGCTGCTTCTTGCGTAATAAGAGTTTCTCGTCCAGTTGATCTCTCGCGCTCTAGGGAATCATGAGTTCGTTAGCACACACCCATACTTTAATCTCCACTAATGTGATGATCCAATCTTAGTAAAATAAACGATTTCGATGACGATAAAATATAGCTTAGATTATTTCTAGAGAATAAATTAAGAATTAGAGAGCGTCAAGTTCCTATATCCTCGATACTTGTACTAATCAAATGAATATCGGACAACGAACTTTTTATTCATATGTAATTAACGAATCAAATGAACGACAAACTTTTTCGTCAGAATACCTGAACTTCGATTGGCGAATTACGACGTAGAACTAAGGCTCACCTTCAATTTAGATAAAGATGCACTAAGCTTGGTGAGCCGTTCAGCAGTTGGTGACCGTGACGGATGCTCCTGGATGAGCTTGGCGAGAGCGTGATATTGCAGGCCGTTGTTCCGCACCTCCCTGGCCTTAGCGAGCTCTTGCTTAGCAGCATTAAGCGCCTCTTCGGCGTCCACCACCGCATCAGTCGTCACGTTCCTGCTCAGTAATCGGGATTAAGTGGTCTTCTATAGAATTGTAAATTAAAGGCAGTCGGACCTAAGGTCAATAGTGTGCCTTCAGGATTCCAAAAATAAAATATTCACAATACAGTAATCAAAAATTTATGTCAAAACAAATAAGAGTAAGAGGATGTCGATCACAAAATAATGCAAAATTACTTTATCCTATCATTTCGTGGTCATCCAATATTTTTTTGGAGAAACTTTCTAGACTAGGCATGGATAAATTCAGCCTGAAAGAAATTAATTCTAGAAGGAAAACGTTTTGTTGAGAAGATATTCACGAATGGACAAAAAACTCACTTGAGTTCTTCATAATGTTCAAGTTGTAACGAGTTCATGTTGAGAATGTTGTCCCATTTGATGGAGCTCTGCTCAATGCTGGCCAGGCTGGTGAGAAGTCGTTCATACTGGGCCTGGCTGCGCATAAAATATATGAAGATACAAAATAAATAACATTACAGGTAACACATTAGTATCTAAAGCAAATTTAGGAAAGAATCAAGGATGACAAGTCAGGTTCTGGGCATCAAGTTACATTCATTTTTTTTATCGGAGAGTGAGGAAAAGTACTGAAAAGCATGAACAACCATGTAATCGAGGAGGTTTTGGCGCTTCACAGCAAGTATTAGTCGCTGAACAAGAATTAGAAACATCCTCCTCGTCTGCGGGGAGCAGAGGAGATCTTCAAGGTGCACATGGGGAGCTTATTTGACGTGGCCCAGGCTACCGCCATGACCCCAGACTATAAGAATCAGGAAGACAAGGACTTCCTGCCGACTCAACGAGAGCCAAGACAACGAGGGTTGCTAGCGTCCTTTGCAATGATCTTGGCCAAGTTAGAGCGCAGAAGCATGAAGAGGCGGTGGCTAAGCGGTGGGAAAGAGCTGTTGTGGAGAAGTTCTGCACTTCAACTGCGGAGATCATCTCTTCTGAATCTGCTTTAACCAAGGATACGATGAGCTCTCGTAACTGGACGAGAGATTTGAGGCTGCGGGAGGTAATCCCAACCCCCAAAAGAAGCATCATCACCCCAGGCCTGGCTGCCGCACTCGACAAAATGAAGACCATGGATCGCACAGCCCACTTAATCCCTACCTTGGTCAGGATCATGCCGTGCTCAATATTGATATTGTATAATACTGGATGCCAGAACAATTCTTATATCTTTTCAAAACAGTAGTGGGCAAAAATCTTCTATGATTTGCCTGCTAGCATTGCCTCCTAAAACTCATTCTGTCGGCCACATTCTCCGTCAGCTTTGTATCTTCATTGAGCTCTCAATTACTGTATCTTAATTCATAGCACGATTCTGGAAATCGTCTGGAAACGTACAAGAGCTGCTCGTCACACTAGGAGGTTGGCCAATGTCTTTTTTGCCTTGCTCAAGTCTTTCAACCATAAAAGAAGCTCTTCAAAAGTTTTCATATGAGCATGTTAAATTTCGAGGCAGACTTAAGCCCCTGACGCTCCAACATGGCAAATCATGCAGCGGAGTTAAGGACAAGAGTTGAAGCCTTGGTTCAAGAAATATACAGGCTGTGTACGGCCAAGAAGGATCAGCTTCAGTTTCAGCTTCAGTTTCTGCCGGGGATAGCAGCCTCAACATCAACACCATTTCCCTGTTGCCTTCAAGTCCAGCCTGATAACTGAATCACGATGATTGTCTGACAAGTACGATAATGCCGCCTTCAGGCAGCTAATATGGGCTAGGCCAGGATAACTTACGAGCCATTAGTGATGGAAACTTCTAATTAGAGTTCGAACAGCCTTTTAGTTTTCTATTTAGGCAGTTTTCAGATTCAGAAGTTTTTAATTTCACAATGTAACTGATTGGAACATTGGGAGAAATCGAGATATTTGGTCTCAATTCGAAATTCATTCCTATCTCTATTGGAGTGTGCCACCATGGGCTAAGATGGTCTATACATTTTCATAGAGGATAGAACTCATCATTTTATCCAAACAGGATAGCATTAATTCACTATTAAAAATGTTGCAATAAAAAAATCAGTTAGCAGAAAGAAAAACATTACATGGTAATTTTAATATTTAAGTAGTAATGCTACTTTCACAAGCACTACAAACCTTTCTTGTGGACCATCTTCAGAGAAACACCATTTGATGAAGGAGCGTGTAAACTTAGCAATCATACGAGCATCTCCTGTCCCATCTCCATCTATCAGTAGTCGTCTTCTGATAATTTCCTCTGCAAGTAGGGACCAATTTTAAACATCAAATTATGGTAAGAGCATGTCAACAAGCAACATGTCAACCTTTTGGCAATAAGTTGATTTTCCAGATCAAATTTTATAAGATTAAATTCAATAAAAGATAGAAATTCTTGAGTTTTGTGTATACATGTATATAGAATGTATCTATCATTTTAATAACCAAATTCATCCTACAAGACTTGTTAGCTGAAAAATTTTGTGAAAATATAATTTTTTCGCAATTTCAATGTTATTTACACTGGTTCACCATTTCAGATACTTGTAATCATTTGGGACATCAAAATCTGGTCACAAAATTTATAGAAATTTAACATGTTGCCAATATGCAATACAATTTTGTCGTGAAGCTATGCCTAGCTCTAGAGTATATAAGGTTCTTCATGCTGAGTTTTAATACATTTTCATGACTAACTGTAACATCCTGCATTAGTTTTGTAAGTAAGAAAATACACCAGGTGAGCAGGAATTTTCACAGTTATTTTATCAATCCAAGCAAAATGCCAAAATATTTTGAGGAATAAATGTGTCATGCACCAAAAATAGTCTAAACAAACACCGATCTGTCCCTGCACGATCGCATGCAAACTAATCCTAAAGCCAAGCAACTACGCATGTACTTCCATGTTATACTGCACATACAAAGACGTTCAATGTCGGTGGCAGCTGGTAGCATGATGGTAACTTCGTGCAGCATGGTTATGCAAATAAGAGTATTAGTTACCAAAATTATGTTTAATGCCGGCTAGTCTAGCAGCTGCAGCAGCGCAATTGTATCCGCATGTTATACGGCTATTAGTGACCTGCAATGTCATTTGCAAGGTCGAACATGTCCTTATGCCGCATGGCTATTAAAGTATTTGAATTAATGAATATACCTATGTTAAATGCTGGTTGCTGCTGGCAAAGTGACTGTTTTCTCACATGGCATGGCTATGCAAGTAAGTAATCAAGCTACTTGCTCTGCATGACAGACTTTGCCAATTGATCAGATTGAGATTGTCATGAGTAAACTATGTGGTAAATAGGTTACAGAAAGCTCATTGGGTGGGGATAATTCCCCAAACCATACATCTTCCTAAGAATATAATTTGTTGGAATTTTTGTTCTATATGACAAAAAATTTTATAGCCTCAGAGAAAAATTTCAACCAAAAATACTTTCCACTGCTGGATATAATTTCAATTCTTCCATTAGCTTTAGATACCATATAGAAACTGCTCAGAAGGAAGATCACATTCAAATATAGTTTTTGGAAATTGATTTTTTAAGCAGGTAATTAGGCATTAAATTACCAGCATAACAATGAAATTCAATTGCTTATGAACTCTCACCCCTAAGTAAAGTTCAAACATGAAAAATGTTCCCAAGAGATGAAATCATTTACTATGCCATGAGCATTTATGTATGCTTTTTTGTGTGAATCAATTTTCAGAGCTATAAACCCAGTAGCCACACATTGAATATTTCTACAAAACTGCATTTTAATCTTGTGGAAAAAGGTATTACATTTACTACATCTCCATTCAAGGAATAATTTAGAACTTAATTACATGAAAAAAATTTTTTTTTTTGGTACATTGAGGTTGTGTGCCAGGGAACAGAGTGAGTGAATATTTCAAGATCTTTGCACACTCAGGAAAATGTATATTTTAGGGCAATTTTCCTGCAAAAAATTAGCTTCTTGAAAACAATGGACCACGCAGTTTGTGTAGGACTATCTCAATATGATGAAATGTATGGCCAAGTAGAGCGGGCAGTGGCCCTCAGCCAAACAATCAAATCACTTACAGCCACACAATGGGGTAAACAAAAAGAGCTTTTCACAACCACATTTCAAACAATCATGCGTCCAGTCCTCAATACGCAAACTCATCCTGGTTACCAATAATATCACCCACACACGTAAACAAACTTCAAACAGTCCAGAACTTGGCACTCAGGATAGCCACAGGATGCACCACTGTCAGAGTGTTAGTGATATGACACCAACATACATCACCTTCCCAAAGAAACCAAACTCCTACCCTCAACACTACACCATAAACTACAGACCTCACAGCTTGGACAGAAAGCAGAAAATCCAACCCACCTACTCTATAAAAAAAATATTATGTGGTGTTTAAGCTTGGTGTAACTTAAAAATGACCAAATGCATACTGGTGTTTGTGCCTGGTGCGTATATCCCAAATAAATCTGGCTTGCACATAACACCTTCCAGGCATAGGGTGACATAATAAGGCTAGTCAAACTTTTCATAGTGGAATGTATAGTAATGGACTAACGGTTGTGCTTGTGTTGATTAAAATAAGTGATCTTACTAAACTGCCAATCTAAAATATCATGTAGAATTTTCTATAAATTGTGTATAAGATGTACTAACAGTTTTACAGGCTATTTTTTTAAATTACAAATCAGAAATCAGGAACATGCTATCTTTTTATATTTTTTACAAAATAAATTTGGCAAGTGTTTTTAAAGAGGGGCTTGACACCAAGATAAAACTGTTATTTCAAACATTACCATGTTAGTTATCTATTTTGTTTATAGTGAAAATATACTTAAAAATTACAATGTTCAGTTTGAAGATCAAAGGCATTTTTTATTACATGATGATAAAATTCTAAACTTATATTAATCCAATATTTTCCATAGCTTCTCAGTGTTCAAACTTTCTTTTCAAATTTGGAATGTTGGACAGAAGTTTCTAAAAATTGCAGGTAAACATGCCATTTTTAGCTATAATGTTTTACAGAAAATTTTGAGAATAGGTCATAGAAATGGATGACATCAGCCAAATTGAAACCTTTGCAGGTGTTTTTGTTCAATTCATGGGTAGCTAGCCTACTGCCCAATTTATGCTTTGGATTTCTCTTATTCATCACTTGACTTAAAAATTGAAGCTCAAAGATTACTATTTACTTTCCTTCATTGTTTTCAGTTGAATTCACTCAGTTGTAGGGTGGAATTTAAGAAATGATGGTTCATTATTATTTAATTTACTGTCACTGGGTCTGAGGGTCACCGTCACCGTTCATATACCTATTCAAGATTGATCTAGCTTTCCAACTTAGCAGAACTAAGATAAGTGAACTTAGTGAAGTAGTAACTCAGTTCAAAAATCTTGGCTAACCAATAACTATAAATGGAATTATGGAGAAATAATTTTTATGATTTTTTTATTCAACATAATATGAGAAGAAGTTAAGAACAGTGGTCAGTGAAGTTGTTTACTGTTGTTCACATATGATTTTGTACTGTAACAGTCTAACAGAGTAACACTGTAACTGTTCACATACTTCTCATTAGTCATTACCGAGAGTAAAAAAAAATCAGTTGCATTGATTTTCATTTAGGTAGCTAGGCGTTACCGCGTTAGCTAGGTACCTATCAAAGTAAAGATTAATTTGCAAATTGAATGAATACGTCAATTACAAAGCAAAATTTCCGACCTACTGTTAGTCTTAATATTCATAATACTTACCATCACCCATTTTTTGAAGTTAAATAAATAACCACGTTTTATTAGCAGCAATAGTAAATGCGGCGAATGTCCACAGTACGTAAACACGTATGAAATCTACTGAATGGAAGAAGCGTCGCTGACAAATTTCCGGAACATGGAATAATTGCTCATGGGCTCCTGTAGCAAAGGAACGAAAAAACTCAAGAAAGTAATGTATCGAAAGAATTATTTATTGTACTCATTTCACAAATTGTTTGATGTTTTTAATGGATTAAGTTTCTCAATCAATAGCGCATTAATTTATCATGCATTGATTCGCCTGCTTGATAAGTTAAATATAAAAAAGTATCATTAAAAGAATCGGCGACAGGCCACATCAGGCCTACACTTCAGCGCCGGCATCACTATGTTATGACACAATTGAGCCTACAGATTGTAGTTATTTTACATCAATTAATTAAAAAACAAAATGAATACAAAATTTCCACGAATCCAGTAAGAAAGAAACTTATCAAAATTACTGTTTTATATAAAAGTATAAATGCTCGGAACTCAAAAAAGATATGGGCAATCCGCATCGATACCCCAGAGATTGGATAGTTCATGGGTCACAAATTTCCCTTACTAGGGCAGAAGAAGCAGAACACACGAGATCTAAAGTATGCATTCGGAAAAATCATTTATAAAAAAATCTGGCTATCACGATAGTTCAGACTACTCAGTCGAAAACACAATTTCATTTGCGAATTTTTCAGGCTTCAAAAATAACTTAGTAACATAGGGACAGATCGATACACGGAAGAATTGTATGGAATGCGGTTACTCTTTTAAATTTATAAGAATTCTTGAAGCAAACCGCAAATATTCTTCTTTACTGTTCGACTTCTCGAAGACCTGCGCAAAAAAAAATAAATAAACATTAGGTACTTATTCAATAAACGATCATTGTTGATTTGAATGAAATGTAAAATTAATGCATCCTGGTAATAAACGCAGTAAATTACCTGTACTTATAGTTAAATTGCCGTACGCTAATAATATGCGAATATTGGCCAGAATTATTTATATAAAAATTAATTCATTGGCTACTAAATGACTTGACCCAATAATTAAATAAATTTTGTATTTATAATGTTAGGTGGTACATTAATTTTATATAACGTACACCCACTGAAGCATCAGAACAAATGTAGTCCTCTGAAATTGCCTGTTAACCCGGGGCTGCTCGGGATTTATCCGAAAGATCTTTCTACGAACTTAGAGATTTGCACGAATTTCGCCTCACCGTATTATCGGACAAATTTTGGACAGCATCCTGATAAAATTTCTAAAAAACTGTGGACTATTGTCAGACAAGCCTCAGATAAATAACGGTCCAGGCTTGAACAAATCTTGGAAAAAATTCTACACAAGTCTCCAGCAAAATTTGTGTACAGTGAAACAAACTTTAGAGTATGTTTGGAAAAATATTGGAAAATATTCAGACAAAGTGGGCGCACACTTCGACGCAAATGTCAGAACAAATCTCCCTGAAGTACAGAATTAAAAATGATTCTATTCATAATAATGTGATTAAAAAAAATCAGGAATCACCCATATCGGACAACGCTTGTTTGTACAAATTAATGTGTAATAAATTGCACTCCAATCATCAGTCTAGCGCCAATTAAATTCAGTAAACGATATTAGACTTCATCAATCTTTTGGAAACTTGCCAAAACAGAACAATTTCATCAAAAGACACCAACTAATGACATCTATTTTTACTTCTATGGATGACTCAGCTCGTAATTATATACGATTAATTTGTGATAATAATTTAAAGCTTACTCTGGCTTCAAGTTCCTTCGATGATCTTTCTGGCGCCTTTGTCATCTGCTGAATCTTTTCATCGAATTTAGCGATTATTTTGTCGCGAAGTTCTTGAGTTCTCCAACACTTCTCGTCGCCCATTTCCTGGAAAATTTTATTGGCTTTTATCACATTTGGCATGACAATGAAAACTTATTATTTACGATTATTTGATGGAGATTATTTATATCATGTTTTAATGAATGTAAAAATTTGATACTCTCACTTATATCGCCTTCATCAATTCGTGTTTTTTACAACTATTTACTTATTACAGGCAATTAAAGATGTTTAGTGCTAACGTGGCGAGAACATTTGATTGTACCACATACATTATTGGTGCCAAGGCAGTGGTCAGGAGAGACCATGACTAAAATAACGTTACTAGGTCAACGATCGAGCACACATGGGAATAACACGGTATGGGTCGTAGCCATTTGGCAAGATGGTCGAGAGTTTTTACGATAAAACAACAATATGTCATTATATAACAACAACAACTTATGTTGTACAACAGCTGTAACGTTATTAACAGATTAGGTTCATGCTTTCTAGGTACGAGTAGATGCAAAGGACATTTTCTTGCAGCATCTTACATTCATGCATTTTAGTATAACATATCGATGTCATTACTATACAAAAAACAAGCCTCGTTCTAAATGCCAATATTGAAGAATTTGTTCTCTGTTTAACGCAAAAATAATAAAACTAATAGGTAGTTTAAGAATCGAAAACATAAGATGTTAGTTTTGCAGAACTTTCCAGTAAATTTGATATTACTGCATTTTAACTCAACTCTCACACCAGTTGGAAGTGTCTGGACCAATTGTCGCATATAATCTATCACAAGGTTCCCAATCCTGCTAGAAGTTTATTACTTCAATATTCTCTCGTCACGTGCATTAGCTGCTATACAAATTCAGCTCACTCATTTAAACCAATAAGCACCAAACCACGAAGCGACTTCTACTCACTGTGTATATAAATTAGCTCTTCAATAACAAAATTCAACTTGCGTTCAAATTGAAGTTGGTACAGTGAGGTTCACCGCACTCTACGTCACCTGCAGTAGCAGTGTGCGCGCACGTCTGAGTTGCACGTTGGCTGCTCCGTAAACGCAGAAGAAAAAGACTAGTATTTTTAGTCGCAGACAACTGCCCGGCCGCATTTCCCAGCTGAAAATTGGTGCCATGCTTGAGCGGCTCATCTGTTCGCAATTCAATGGCGACGATTAAAGCAATTATTGTTTTTTTATACAGCGTTAAAATGATCGTTTAGAATTAGATTCTATTCGGGAGGTGAATCAAAGATGAAAGTTCACCTCCCGAGTTCACCAGCAATTCAAAGATGAAAGTTTATTAGCAGCTTGCTTTGGAATGCGACGCAACTCATATTGCTGCAAATCAGACGTTGAACAGTGAATGAAGATGAGCGGGCAGACTGAAGATACGCATATAAAATTAACGTGTCATGTTAAATTAATGTGTCATTAATTACATGATATGAATCACGACCTCACGTGAAAAATATAAAAATATCATAGGTGCAGTCACACTCGCACTTTGGAGAAATATTCGACGTATGTCACGAGAATGAGACTTGAATAGATTCTCAGAGATTATTCTGGGATAGACATCAATAAAAACCTGATATGGACAGCAACGTAAATTTAAACGTGTCTGTTTAAAATTTTTTCTTTCAATTTCGTGGAACGATAGCGTTGAGAAAAAATAATAATCAGTTATGTAAAGCATATTTTATTTAACCAAATCATCAATTTGAAATTTCGCTATAATGAAGGATAAATATTGAATAAATAAATACCTAAATATTATCTAAAAATTTTTATTTTATACTCATCAAGTACTATTAATCTATGCTACCACGTTGTTGTGGAATATCTTTTTCACTAATTGCATAGTATAATGTAGTCACACATTTAAATCTGGAATGAAATTCATAGCAGATCATATTAGATTATTTGCATTATTAAATTTTCAAGTAAATTAATGTACTGAATTACATTTGATAAGCAATGATAGACTTTCTTTTCCTAGAAATAATGGCGAGGTCATATTTATGTGAAAAATGCAAGTCTGACAAATGGCGATTGGTGCGATAGATACAGAGCATTTCTCACGTCTGCACTCATGAGAAACTCCACACATGATCAATCTATAAATCTAGGCGATATAAAAGGTGATAAACACGATGACACTTACTGTTTTCTCATGGTGACTATCGTTACAAAACTACACAAATATGGTGAGTGCAATCATTAAAAATAATATCCCATTACCAACTACGAATTACGTTCTTTTAACGATGATTTTCATAAATGTTGAACAACGAAGAAGCATTTCAGAACATGTTAGCTAAAATACCCACACAATCATGAAATAAAAATACTTCCGAAACCACTGATCTTGCCGTCGAGGTTCCTACTCTAATAATTTGCCAAGCGACGACAAAATTCAAATAACGAAATCGTGACAAAGAGGTAAAAGTTCTATAAACATAATATGAAACACGCGCGCTTACCAGACGAAGAAATAATTAAACCCGCTCCTAAAAAGAAAGAGATTCTAGATATCGTGTATAGAAAACTGGTGGAATCAGATGTATCGAAATTATATCCTAAAGACCTAAACTAACTCCTATATAAATCCAAAAATTATTTGAATCATAAATGGTAAATTTAATCAAGTTTAAGCAAAGCAATAGTAACTTTAGCCGAATTATTTTTCAGTTCTACAAAGAGAAAAATGTCTATAACGTCAACGTTTAATCAGCCACGAAATAATTCTGTCTGCATTGCTTTCGTAGACGAAATTGTGTAACCTGCTTCATCTTTCAACATTAGTATATGAATGAAAATGACATTCCAGGATTAGCTTAGACTCCGATCGATGTTTCATTTATGCTGCCTCGAAGGTCGAAGGAGTTTGTCTCATATCCGTTCCTATAGTGTATTGATTTTTGCGTTTGAGCAATTCCACCCCCTATATGTTCTACGATTTGTGTGGAGGGAAGATGACCAATTTTTATCCTTTACAATAGTCATAGTAGTCACAGAAATCGGTCTTCAGATGTATCGTAGAGCATGTAGCAATGTGGTGCATAAAAACACAAAACCCCCAAACATAAGTGTTTCTTCACATTTGGTGAACAATACGTACCGGCTGAAATTCATTACCATAAATCACGAGATCTCGTTCCTAAAATCTTGTTATCTTATTCTGTATCTCCATACAGCAATTAATGAAATTAGTCAGCACAAGAAAGATTCTGCAGTTCAGAGGCGTGTTTGAAGATTAAGTCTTGCGCTGAGAACCATCATATGTTGTGCAGGTAGCATAAAAACGATCGTGCTTACAACATAACATTAATTTTTTCTCCTTTAATTCCTTAGAGAAATCTTAATGGTGAGTGGCATCTATTCTTTGCATGTTTCAAGATGAGAAATTTCATTTGTAAAAGAAGCATAAATTATTTTGCACTTTGAGACTAGTAGTATTTACTTCTTGTCCAGAATTACACGTTCAGCTCAATGAACATCGTGAATGCTCTTTTAAATAAATCCTGATATTGCAGAATTAATGAAATAGAAATTCTGAAGGGTCCATGACATATAGACTTGCTCAAGAGTGAATGTAATCAATTCCGTTTTCGGCGCGCATCACGCAGATCAATTCAGATCCCGATTAATTTATGATGTGAACATGTTTTGTTTTGAAAAGTGGGGAATACATTCCCCAACATTTTACCAAAGTCGCGTGATTTTTCTAAATATTAGTTACTCGAGATAAAACATTTTGTGATTTTAATTGTGACACTGAATTTTAACATATTACTGCCGGATCTGACCAGCGTGCTCTGATATACCTCCTTCCGCTGGTGGCTGTGGTTGTGCTCGGGGGGCGCATAACGGTAGGCCAAGATGAGGAACTCTGCTTCCAGAACATCTCAGATCTCTGCCCCGTACCCGACCCTGCAGGTTGGTCTCATATTTTCAATAATATATTATATTTGTTAACAGGGTGGCCCAGTGGTTAAAGTTCAGAGTACTGAGTACCAGGATTGGCGCAGAGAGGCGCGGGTTCGATCCCAGCTCTGTGCGCTAGTTTCTGGACAGAATCGGCAAGGAGGCCGGGCGGTTAAAGCAAAGCAGAATTGGAGCAGTGAGTTGCAAGTTCGAGACCGCAAAATGCTGTGAATATTCTGCGATGTTAAGAATCGGCGACAGGCCTACGGCCTAATAAACGCTGAAACCGCTATATAATAATATCATTATAGTATCAGTTCCTAATTTCGCGCTTGAATTAGAAGAGAATTGTTCTTGTAATGTATAGTTTCTCTGATCAACAATCACAATGGAAGAGCGGTTACTTTTACTTCAACTTAACCGAATCTAAAATTCACCTCACTGAAAAAGTATCTAGCAATATGTAGAAGTCAGTAGAATCTTAGCCATAACAATAGCTTGAAATGCAGAGAAAAAGCATCTTACGGAGATGAGACTTCACAAGAGTTACCGCAGTCGAACTGATTTTTTCTCATCGCAGTGCACGTTCAAAATTTAGGAATGGTAGCGGGAACGTATATATATATATATACAATCAACTGAGCTGACTCTTCCATTGAAATGAGCTGACTCTTCCATTCTGTTGTCGATAATGAGGAAGATTTCAAGTAGAGTTCAAAATTCTTTCCTCATTTGCTACTGAGTAGAGGGTCAGGTTAATTACTTCGATAAAATTGAATTACTTTCCTTTTATAATGTGTGCATTCAAATTGCGTTTGCATTTACGGTATAGTATTTGGAAGAAACGCAGCCGTGTGCGGTACATAGTTCGAATTGGTGGTATATTGGGGTTTGGGTAACGAGGATGTAAGTGCAATAGGAAAATGCGATGTATTATTTACATCGACTGTACCTCTATTCCTATCATGATCGATATGGTTGGCAGTTTGTCAGACAAGTGTGTTTACTTTCTTTGTAATTGCTTAGATTTGTAAATATTCTCTATCAGCAGAGGCAGCCTTAAATTGCATGCATGATTAGATCCCTTGTATACCAAGCTTGAACGATACTATAAAATTGCACACTCTCTCTCTCTCAAGTTCTTATTGAACTCAATTATATAGGATCGTGGCCACAAAAAGCAGTTATTCACAACGAAAGTTCATAGGGATCAGGGGACTTGTAAATATTCGTAAATATTCGAACAAAGGTCGAATATTTCTAATTATTTCGAAGTTACAACAAATATAGTGCAAACAATACAAATAAGCAGCAGCATCAGTTCTTCATAACTGAGTTTATGAGCGCAATATTTATGCAATTTAATGATCAATTTTTTAAGTTATCTTGGTGCATATCAAATAGACATTGTGAACAATTTCGTTTCAGCTCCAGTGTTCTTCCCTGACCCGACCAACTGCGCTAAGTTCTGCGAGTGTTCGAACGGCTTGGCCTACTCGCTGACTTGTTCTCCTGAAACGCTCTACGATGTGACGGACGAAATCTGCAAGACGGCGTCCGAAGTCGATTGCGGTGACAGGCCGATCAGCGTGGCTAGAGCTTCGTTTAAGAGGTTGTGGTAGTCATGGTTCAACCTTACCATGGTGGTAGTGATAGACTGGCCGATAAGTGGAGTTAGAGCTCTATTCAGAAGGTGGAAATTACAGGCCGTTCTGAGGGATTCTGGGCAGGTATGTGGCAAGGAACCGCAAAATACTCGAAACTCTGGCAGATACTGTACTTCGTAGTGGATGATAATGACGCATAGATGATAGATAAGGAATAATTGATGCTTCACAACGGCGAAACGGGTTCTTTTGAATGAAATTTTATAACTTTGCGGTTATTGCGTAACTTACAATGCAATGAAGCTCAAGAAAAAGTTAGATCCACATTAAATCGTTTTGATTAAGTTTAGAATGGATTTTAAAAAGTTGAAACTAGTTGGCTGTACAAATAGTAGTATATGCCTTGCAAGATCGATGGGGATAGTTATTTAGTTCCACAAACGCTTCGACTAATGCAAAGAGTGCCACAGTACCTTCTCCGGCATGAATCATCAAAATTCTATACATGGTTATCAACATTGGGATTGAGTACGAGTATATTGTAATTCAAGTAAAACGAATTAACCTTTTAATATCACGACTTTCATTAAATCCTCTCACTTCCTCATTATATTTTGTATAGTAAAAAAAGTCCGAGACGAGCCAGCATACAAAGATAAGGGACTGGCAACCAGGCGATAAGTAAACTCCAAAAATTTGTGAGTAATTTACATCGTTTTAAAATTAATATCTATAAATTATTATATAATTTATATAAATTTTTATTTGTATAAATTACAGTTAGCGGTAATGAAACTAAGCGTATAGTCATACTAACATAATAAAATGACTCGAGTGAAAAGGAAAATAATCGTAAACAAGGGGACGCCTGTCGGAGACCACCATTGCCGTGCTTCGAATGGACTATCATGATCCCTTCCCTCAAGATCGTAGCCTATAACACTTTTTGACTGTAACGTTATCAGCCGCAAGCCACCAGACAAATCACATCCATTGAATTAGATCAATCAGCCCACAGAAAAATAGCCTGGCGTAGAATGGCTCAGCATCGTCTGCCAAAATTTTACACCACCCGCGCCGGAGCCTCGCAGTGATTATGATGCCCGCCACCGACACGTCCTTATCTGCCCCGTGTGTTGAATCAGCCTATACGGTCGAACGGTCACTCGTCGTGGGACGATAAATTTTGGAACAGAACTAAGGTATCTGAAACCTAACTCCTCATGATGTGAGCTAAAAGTTACGTATTTTAACGAGACTGCGGAAGTCACTCGTCGAAGGACGACAGATTTTGGAACAGGACTATGCTATCTGAAACCCAACCCCAGATACTGTGAGCTAAAAGTGACCGTCTGGTGGTGCACGGCAGGATTCATGCAATTCCCATTGGCGAGCTGGGCTGATTGGTCGCAGTCCGTTGTCCGCTAGTGACAGTTCGAGCTACAGTCGGGATGAAGTGATGATTCGATGCAAAGTTCAGTGGTGGACGATCATTACATTTTGGGCTATTCGCTTCAGATAATGGTGGCGTAAAGCCCTTGATATTTAAAACAAGATAATGTCATGGGCTGGTTACTGACGGTGACGGCAGGGTTAATACGCGGCTGAATGGTGGCCTTACGGAAATAGGCTAGGCGTTCTGTTCAGGGCTGATTGGTGCACAAAATTGGTGATGCACGGCTGCGTGCCCCAGTCGAGACGCCAAAGCAAGATGATGTCATGGGGAACACAGCCGTGCAACACCAAATTTGTGCACCAATCAGCCCTGAAAGGACCGCCCAGCATATTTCCAGATGACCACCATCAGCCGCGGATTAAGCCATCCGTCAGTAACCAGCCCATGACATCATCTTGCTTTAGTTTAAATATTAGGAGCTTTACGCCACCATATTCTGCGTAATGTTTTCATCGCAGCACAAACGAAATTAAGTGACAGCAATGGTTGAAAAGTCTAGTGTGGAAAAAGGTCTCGGAGTTTATGTCGACAAGGAGCTGAAATTTTCTACGCATATTGAAACGCAAGCTAATACAACCAACAAACTTCTTGGAATAATCAGACGCTCATACGAGTTCCTAGATGCAGAAGCGATGAAGCAGTTGTTTGTTGCTGTCGCGCCAGAATCTAGAGTTTGGAAACGTTGTGTGGTCACCGAGATTTGAAAAGGTCAAAAATTCAATAGAGAATGTTCAGAGACGTGCAACAAGGATAAATCCAGGCTTGAAGGGCAAGTCCTATGAAAAAGATTAAAGATTATGAAGCTTCCAAGCCTCAGTTATCGACGTCTGCGTGGGGACCTCATTGAAGTATACAAGTATACTCGTAATTTATACAAGGTCCCCAAAGGATTACTAGAATTTGAAACAAGAACCAACACCATGGGCCACGGCTAAAAATCGGCTATTCTATTCTCGCTTCGAATCACCGACATGTGAAAAAGCCTCCCCGATTACGTCGTTGGCGCTCCGAGTATGAACGCGTTCAAGAACTGACTAGATTAAGCTATGGAAAATAGTGAGAACAGCTAGTAAAGCAAGAGCGGCAGCATAATCTATCTTCAAAGGCCAGCGAGTGCGGTAGCCCAGACGGTCAGTCTCGGTCCCAGCACACGCGTGTAGTGGAAACGCGCACGCCAGTTTTGAGGCCCAGCCATGTAGCTTATTGGTCTCAGGCCAGTCTCAATCATTCAGAATCAGACCCGTAGTGGAAACGGGCCTTAACTCATCGAATCGACACTTCGGTGCTTCGGTTGCCTGAAAATGTTTTTGTTCCGTTTTAATTTAAAACGATCTGATGTATTTGTAATATTCAAAATTTCGAGCTGATCCGTTCAGTATTGAAGGACTTGTGACTGGTTAGATTGCTTAAACATTGCGTTTTTCGTTTTAATTGAAAACGAAGTAATGTAAAAATCTGTAATAATTCCTATCGCAGCATTTTGATAATATCTACATATATTCCAAAATTAAAGCAAATCTGTTTATTATTGAAGAAGTTATCACTGGTTAAGTTGGGCGAGGTAGTTCGGTCGCGCGAGTCGTCAATATTTCATTGTCACCTGAACTAATCGTTGAACCTGAAAAGATATGTATTTCCCAATAAAAATATGTTGCAATGTTAAAAAACTTGTCTTCACAAAATTCATTCCTTACTCATTACATTCAGTAACAAGAAGAAATGACTTTAAATTATCCTTGCCTCTTCTAGTAGCTGGAGCTGCGCACAACCTCGACGACCCACTGTCTGTACCAAACTAGGATGTTGCGAAAAAAACGCACAGTTTGAAAGATTATATTGAATACCATTGCAAGCTAAGCTGTTGTGACAAATCTGCCGCAGCAGTTTTAGCAGTACACATGCGGGTATCATACGTCAAATTCAACGTATTCAAAACCTGTCGTGTGTGGTAGTGTACATTTTGAATGTGCTGTGTGGTTCGCGGACAAATACTGTTGCGTTTATTTTTGATGCATGAGGTATTTGCCGCCCTTTGTGAAAGGGGCCTAGCTGAAGAAGATTTGAAAGGTGCATAGGACTGACCGTCAACGTTTGCACGACCACTCATTTCCCGGTCTTGTTCGGGGCTCCATGCCTAGTGCCTTCTGCCAAACACTTTATACCTCCTTGTATATAGGCAACCCCCTGCGTCGCTCACCAACTCCCATGGGCCATGGTTGATGCCAACTCCACTCTATACAATTACCCTGATTATCAGATACTGTCTTATTTATCTTCGCAGCGCAGTGAGGTTGGATAGCAGAAGGGGGCAACATTTTCATGAATATTTTGAGGTTGAAGTAACTGAAATTAAATACGAGATTTGGGAAAGTACTAAATTTGTCAAATTATGCGTTTTATATCTCACAAAATATTTCAAATGTTGCCGAAGTATGTTACGTACTCAGTACTCACCACATGTCCCAAACTAATGAACGCAGCTCGTTGGAATTTTGCACATGCATTTATTAGGACCTTACGGAGATGTTTAAGTCGTAGAGGTGTTAATTTTCATCGAGCTACGTTCACTAGTTTCAGAGATATTTCATGTTCACTAAATCTTGGCGATCGGCCGGAAAAGTGACCGAGTGCTCGTGAGAGTATGGAAAAAGTGAACATTGAAGTAACTATTTTCGGAGTGAACTATTCCCGATGAACTATTTGTCAAGAAAGATTTTAACAGGAATTTGACCAAAATTCCTTATTTTCGACGAAACTGGGTAATAAAAGGTCCTTATATTCTGTAAATATATTCTAATATGGACAATTACGCGTCGTCGTTCATGATTGTTTTACCACCATCAATTATCCGTTGAAAGCCAAAAATAGTCAGTCACCAAAATGAAACTGAGTAAATTCTGTTCTCGATATTTGTGCTGATCGTTCTTTAGTCGACTTACCATTTCGTTGGAATGAATTAATTTCTCATCAAATAGTCAACGGATAGCTGGATTAACATAAATGGAAGTTCCTAGGATAATTGGGAAGCATTAAGTTCGTCAAGTCCAACAATTATCTCATACGCGCAACTTGAATGTTTTTTCGCTCTTCTCCCGAGACGATCAACATCTAATCGCTGGCCTGACGTCTTCTGATCACCGACAGTCGCGCAATAGGATTGAATCTCTCTCATCTCCTCCATGTCCAATCACAGCTAATATAACCCTTCAATAATAGGTCTCAGGTATAGTCCCTAGACGAATACAATGTAGAATTTCGCACCCAAAAGAGCTACAAGTTTTAGATCTTCCATACAGTTGAAAGAGAGTTGAAACGCCCCCGGTTTGTTCGTTCACACTTGTGCGTGGACCAGGTACAATTAAGTGTCACCAAACTGCATCCAAGCAATCGGAAAATTGTTCACTCGTTGAGAAACTCTTGAAAAAACATTTAAACGAGAGCATATTTAAAAACTGATAACATAGGAATAGCCCAATTTCATGGTTGTCAATATCATATTATTCAACCAACATTAAATTCAAATAAATGCAAACGTCCTTCTATTGTCGACGCTCACAACGTTGTCGTAGGATCAGGTCATTCACTATATGTAAACCTACGTAAAGTAACCGCACATATAACCACCAATAGCTGTTGAAAATAGAGTATATTTTTATCGAGCAGGCATACGCAATTCATTGATAAAGGTCGAGTTGCATTCACACTATCTATTGCAAAGCTTATTTATATAAAGCATTTCGAGCTAGGCTCGTAACGTGTGACGCTAAGTAGAAAACAATGACGTTTGTTTTGCCTAAAGCAGCATCGACACTTGCAGGAATTAGAGGACATAAAATGCAGGCGAGGGTCAAATAGCAGTGATGAACCAAGAAATTCGAGGTGCGGTAACAAAATACATTTCTCAATTTTTGTCTTCTCAAAAAATGGTTACAAGAAGTTTGAAACTGCATAAGACGGAGAAAGTTACGTAAAAGAAAAGTAATACCTAGCATCTTGAAAGCAAGATTCAAGCAAATACGAACGCGTTGACATAAGGAAAAACCAACGTCATCATTAATAATTATTCAGCATAAATTCTAAAAAGTTCTTAAGCACGATATTTATAACAACAGTGAGAGCGCTATCATCGTTGCACTGAGCCACGATCTCATTTACAATATCTAGCTTCTTTTACAATCCTAAATGATTGGACGGCATGGAATTGTATTTCGTCCTGTTTGAATATGAGGACACGAATAGCTCTCCATTCTACTAGAGTACTAAAGTAGAGGTAAACAATGCAAAAAAACAGGCAGAAGTTCTAGATATTTCCTAAATATGCTCGGTTGCAAAACAGTACTCCCTCCCGAAAACACTAGTCTTTAAAATAAATTCAAGTTCTCGTCAAAACTTGTTTAAAACCTACGGGATATTTGAAACAGAAATTACACAAACTTCTCACAATTTTACGTAACACATAATCGGTCATGAAGGAATTATTTGTGCTGTACTTGAAAAAAATAAAAATAAAAAATATACAACGAGAAGTTCAACACAGCCCGGACGTCGTGCGATAGTAAATGCTTTGCTTGCGCTCATAAATGAAGAGGCACATTTTCGACTCGCATATATATAGGAAAACAAACTTGATAATTTTACGAAGTTTTTTTCATGGGCAAAACGATATTATATTGACGATGGAATAGATAAACGTTCATCGAATGACAGGCATAATCGGATGATAATATCGATGGTATTAAAAACTTATTCGTTCCGTCACAGTAAAAGGTTTAAATTTCAAGCGAGAATTATCAACTGACTTCATACTTTGCACAATGAAACGATACACTATAAAAAGTGAGGAATAAGATTTCTTACTGTAAAGGGGGTATCATTAGATTAGTCAAGAGAAAAACAACAAAGAAAGTGAGAAACAAGCCGAACGCATTGCCCCGTACTGATAGCGGAGCTGTCATCTTCGACATTTCAGAGTTTCAAAAAATGAACATAAATATTCTCTTATTTGAATATTGATCGATGATCTCTTCATAACACGGATGTTATTGATGATCTCTACATAAGACTGATGTTATCACAACACAGAATGATGACGTACACGATACAATCTACTGATGAGGTTCTTACTGAAGAATCTTATCTCGGAGTCATGAAGATAAATTTGTTTTTGACGTAGAAGAGTTGACGTATAACTTCTAGCGGGATCATAGTAAAATGTTACGTGAATATTCATGAAAAAGTCTTGAAAAAATCAACAGTGAAGATAAAATTTGAGAGACTAATTAATAGTCATTCAGCGTCGCATGAGGTTCAGTTCTCGGAAAAGAATTTTCGCTCACAATTGTGCGTCATGATTATTTAATTCTCTGTCTCATTAAATGAAAATTCAAAATAGCTTCACCTAAATGCAAAAAGTCTACAGACATTAAAGCAACACAACCTTCACAGAAAATGCACAGTTTCTCATGGCTAATCTAAATTCCGCAGAGCTGCGTGAGTTTGGTCGAGTATCAGGATAGGTTACAGGGTACATGTTAGTTTTCTCTGTCACTGTACATTAGGGAAGTAAGTCAACGGTGGGTAGGTAGTCTTGTGTTAGCAAAATAATGAGTTAGGTGTTTGCAAAACTACTCATTTAACGCAAGTCAAAGTTTGAGCGGCAGCAAAATCAAGTATTATAGTCGCGCAGTATGTTGCAAATGCCCGTGAGTGCAACCTTTTATGCGATAAAACTCAGCAATAAACACAGCAGATTTAAAAAGCATGGAAATGCATCAGTAGCCACGCTCCATAACACCATATACCTACTAAAAGCAAAAACGGATGGTCAGTTTAGCAGCCAATATCTTTTCACCATTAAAAGGAAGCCAGCCAATGGCAACAGCGAGAAGAGAATATAAAAGAATCGTAACTTCGTAGAATTTTCCTCATTACAAAGAAAATTCATGCCACAATGGACGGGCGCACGTGGCAAAGCTGAAGTTTTTACCACGAGCAATTTTTTTGAAATTTAATTGGACGGATTGAAAATAACTCTAGAGCAGGTAATTTAAGTGTAGCGATTTCCTGCACGGAAAATGCTACGAGTAATGAAAGATAAACATTGTGCATGACGATTCAAGCGATTTTTAAACGATTTTTTGTTATCTAAATATAAATAAGGGCAAAGACCGAGCTTAGCTGAGTGATGGAGTCAAGAGATTCCCCAAAAAATTAAATCTGGAGAATATGAAAGGATCAGCAGACCTATCAGGTAGATTGGTAAAATAACAATGAATTTGAGAGCGAGTTGTGAAGTCATAAAATGAGAAGTTAAATTCTTATGTACACCAACATTAACTTCTGGAGATATCTAGACTGAAGTGAGTAGATCAGAGTCGTTTCTAGTTTTGCAATTAAACTTACTAAATTTATCCCATGTAGGAAAATAAATTAGGATTTTAAAATGACTATAACGTACTCAGAACACTAGCGACCACCGTAACTGCTTCATCATTGTCAGGAAGACCAAGTGGGACGCACAGCGGTTTGCAATGCAATAAAATCGACAATGGTAACAATTGTTTAAAAGTTTTCAAGATGTAATTCACTGTCTTCCCTCATCTGCAACCACGAATAAAACAATCTTGATTAATTAACTGCGCAACAGACTATACCAGGAATGTCAGCCAAATACTTAGAACTATAAAAATAATAATACTCTAAAACCTTCATTCAACAAACTCCAACTATCACCAACAATCTAGACCTAATTATCATTTCATAAATCTAACTTGGAATGTGTAGCAAGGAATTGTATGAATCTCTTCATAGTTGACCCTCAAGAGACATTTCTATTGATATCACCACATATATTCAGTAAAACTTCGATGTAGCAAAAGAAAAAAAAGTGAAAATTTGTTGAATTCCCTTGTGGAAGAAGGAGCCAGTGAAAATTTACAGAAGTCAGCTTCTGATTTGAATTACCAGAAGCTGGGGCGACTCTAAATTTTGTTAGGGGAGGTAAATTCAGCATCTAAAACTAATCAATTTGTCCTGTTCAGCTTTCTATTTGATATGTTCGCCAGCAGCGAATGATTCACTTGAAGGAATAACAATGGAATGTGATGAATTCAGCTAAGTAAACCCTATTTCAACATGGCTACGATGCTCTTTACTTGCAGCGTCATCCTGATCAACACACCAGGCGAGCAGACTCCTAAATGGTACAAGTATTAAAATATGAATACTCTATTTTTACGCAGCGTAACCACTAGCTAGCAAAAATATTCCCGAGTCTACTTCATCATTAACAGCCCATGTAGGAAAATATCCAAATGTTACGCTTTCATATCTAATTAACATTCAGAATTGTCATCTTCAGTAACTAAAGATTGTGTATCTTTTCCCGTGTCTCTTGAGGAAGGACTGAGTTCCTTTGGCCTCAAGTTGAGACTTGGCGCCGTTTTCTGCAAGATGGCCGACGGCGACAAAATGGCCAGTTTAGACGGCGTCGGCTTGAGGGGTTTCGTCCCGGCGCCTCCGGAAGTGACCACCCCCAGAGGCTCGCCAGTCAGAGTAGCTGGTCGCTCGGGCGTCGAGTCTAAAGGAACCTCGTACAGGCCTTTGACTCCCGCGGCATCCTTTTCAGAAACAGCGGTGCCAACAGCAGAAGTTGTGTCGGATGACGCACCCATGGCTTCGTACATGGGGTTACTAAAGTTGTGGTTCTCACCTCCACTCAAGTTTATGTCACTTTCTAAGGGAATCTGTAGGAATGATTCAGACATGAGACAGTACAACGTGAAGGAAGATGGCCGCAGTACTGGAACTCGGTCGTTGCCGTTATGTTCAATGTACCTGGTATAACCATTAATCACAATTGGGATTTCTCAAATTTAAAACCGAAATAAAAACCCAACGACGTAATATTTGTCTTTGAGGATAGCTTGAATGAATTAACGACGCAAAGAATCATCTAACTAAAAATAATCGTATATAAAAATGTTTAGAGGCCAATTCACTACCAAAATATTTACGAGTGCGTTTAAGATATCAAGTATAGGATCCTCGAATAATAACGATCGATCTATTGAGAACGGAGAGTAAAGGTTTGAGGTAAATAATAACGATCGAAATATAACAAACGGAGAGTAAAGGTTCGAGGTAAATTTGAATGCCGTACCCCGTTGCCAGTGTCGCCAGCTCCCCCGAAGGAGGTGGGGCCGATTTCCACGTTTGTGCCCTGGCGGAAAACGACGCTCGAGCCCGGCAAGCCTCGGCCCTTCAGAGTACTGCAGTAAAGACAGTCAAATCTACAAGCAAATCAAAGAAATATCGATTACTAAAACATTAATTTTTATTCAAATGAATTATGTGCCTAAGAGATTCTATTCCGTACAATGAAAAAGGAGGCAATTATCACAAATTTGGCTAGTATATGAATGATTTCCACCCAGCCTCCCCGCAATAGCTCATCTGGAGCTAGTAATAGCTCAATAGCCAGTGCAACTCTTAGGTTCTCACATGTGTCGCCTGCTTAGGAACACATATAGCGCAGCTACAACGCCAAGGACGAAGAGACACAGGACGGTGGGCACGACGACCGACGTGGGCGTCCAGTTGGGGGGCGAGACGAGGCTCCTGGCGACGTATTCCTCGCAGCGCTCGCCGCTGTAACCGTCCCGACAAATGCAGCTCAAGTGATCGTCGTTGCCTTCAACGGCTTCACACACGCCGTTCAGGCAGCCGCATTCCTTGGGGTTGGCTTTGACTGCCTCGTGGGCTACAAGTACAAATCGAGATTAGGTTATTTAGCAGAAACTAAATCAGTTTTAGGCCTATAAATATTATATAGAAAGTGTTGATGAAGAATTTTCAAATGAGTTGTAGTGCTTATTCCTTTTTATGCACTGGACGAAACGGGGTGATTTCAATTCCCCAACTAAAAACAACATGCATGCTAAAGTTCTGAAACGTTAAACGATGAAATATTCTGAAAAGAATGGAAATGTGGCCAGAAATAATTATTCAGTTCACAAACTAAAACTTACGAGCATCGCAAACGACGCTGCTTGTCTTCTTCGTTTTGCCATCAGGACATGCGCACTTATATCCTTTGGGTACGATGAGACAAAGATGACTGCATGGGTTGTCCGTACGGCACACGCTTTCGATGGAAGTGTTATACCTCTTGTCGGCGAACACTTTAATGCTCGAAGGGTTTACATAAGCACCAGGTAATTTCACAGGAACGCCACGTCCAAACTTATCCAGATGATACAGCTCTCCGGAGTCCCGTGTAACCCAGTACAAGGTTGACTCGAACACATCCAGAGCCACTGGATGCATCAAATGCTTGCCACTCGCTACAAGACGTCGTCTTGTACCATCCTCTCGCATCATTTCAATCTTGTTAAGTTTCGTATCAACCCAATATATTGTGTGATACATACTGTAGTCGAGGGCTAGACCCGTTGGCTGACTGATCGCATCCGACACGATAATACGCCGCTTCGTTCCGTCCATCCAAGCGGATTCAATCTTTGGAATGGAACCAATATCTGTCCAGAACATGACGCCATGCTCGGGATCTACTAATATCGATGTCGGGTCTTCCAGACCAGTGGCAACAAGAGCATTTCGGTATCTGCCATCGAGTGTTGCCACAAGGACGGCACCTCGAGGTTTGTTGCCACTCCTGTCAGTTTCAGTCCAGTAAAGATTCATTGCTGCCCAATCAACAGCGACGCCACTTGGCTTAGCGCGGCTCTTTATGTCCAAATCTTGTGCGTAGCCTACCGTAACATTTGCTCTTTCTGGGGAGCCCGGCATGTACGATCTCTTAATGGACTTTTCGTAGGAGTCCGTCCAGTAAACAATTCCAGACCGTGGCTCGTAATCCAGGGATTCGATGCTGTCACCCCGTATGACATCGAAGCTTCTTTCGGCGGTCATGTTGAAGGCCCTAATTTCAGGTCCATTGGAATATACCAGCGTGATAGATCCTTGCGATAAGCGGCATACGCCTGTTACTTCCACATCAAAACCGTGATGGCAGTAACATCCGTAGGTTCCGTTGATGTTGATACAAAGATGAGAACAGTTGTGAGAAAACTCGGCGCACTCATCTATGTCAGCGCACACCTTTGGATTGTTTGGAACAGTTCGGAAGCCTCGAGCGCAATGACAGACGTAACCGCCATCTTTGAGGTTCGTGCAGCTCTGTTCGCAGCCTCCTGTGGTGCAATTTTGACCAGTGTGGCAACCCAGTTCATCGGACATGTCACCACAATCGTCTTTGTGATCGCAGATATTATGGTGTGGGACACACTTTTGGTTTGCACATCGATACTCGGTAAATATGCAAGGCCGGGGAGTATGAGAACAAATTGTCATGTTGTTTTCGTCTGACCCGTCACCGCAGTTATCCACGCCATCACACTTTTGATAGAGAGGAATACACTTGTGGTTGTTGCATTGGAAGCGTCGTAGTGTATTGCAGGTGTAATTGCTGCAGAGCTGTTCCCGTTCATCAGAGTTGTCGTAGCAATCATTGCTGCCATCGCATAGATCGCGCATTTCCACGCAAAGGTGATTGTCGCACTCGAATTTATCTGGTGAGCAATAACGACCATCTGGGAACCGAGGAGGACAATCCAGTTCGTCACTGAGGTCTCGACAGTCGCGATCTCCGTCGCACCTGAAATGATCTTTGATGCAATGTCCAGATGAGCATTGGAAGTGACCAGATTTACATTCGTGGTCACGGCAATCTTGTTCGTCAGACTCATCGCTGCAATCATTATCGTGATCACAGCGCCATCTGCTTGGAATACACTTCTTGTTCTTGCATTGAAACTCTGATTCTGAACATTTACGGTACTGATTTTGGCACATTTCATCTCGTTCATCTGAGTTATCCCCACAGTCGTTCTCAAAGTCGCACAGCCACCTCTTTGGGATGCATCGCTTGTTGTTGCACTGGAAGTCCCCTTTCTCGTTGCATTTCGGGCAGTTTTCAGGAAGTTCATCGCTGCCATCGCGACAATCGTCCTTGCCGTCACAATAAAGCCAGTGAGGAATACAACGGTAGTTAGCTCTCCCAGGACACCGTCTCCAGCCCTCGGTACAGTTCTTTTGACGGCACAAAAAGGCCGGCTCGTCCGAGTGATCACCACAGTCGTTATCGACATCGCAGTACCACTGCTTGCTAATGCAGTTGCCATTCTTGCAGCTGAATTCAGTTTCTTTATCGCAAGGTCTGTTTTGGCAGACGGTTGGATTTTCATCTGAACCATCGGCACAGTCAACGTCACCATCACACTTCCAGGACTTGTTAATACATTTGCCTGATGTAAGGCATTTGAACTCTAGGCTATTGCACTCTATATGGCAGTTCTTTTCATCAGAACCATCAGGACAGTCGCGATGTCCATCACAGAGTTGGGTGGACGCCGTACAACCCTCGCCACTCTCGCACTGGAACTGTCCGGCACGACACTTACGCTCGGGACAAACATCTCCGCCTGGTTCGTCGGTTCCGTCACCGCAGTCCTTTTGTCCATCGCATTTCCAGTACGATGGGATACATTTTTCATCATCACCTCCACACCGGAACTGGCCTTGCGTGCAATTGGCGGTACATGATTTCATGTTCTTGTCCAGAACGAAATGATTTGGGCAAGCGCATTTGTAGCCAACAGTCTTGTCTTTCCGTGGCGACAAGAGACACAGATGGGAACAACCGCCATTGTTATTGCCACATGGATTGTCGTAGGGCAGCTGACGCAAGGGATGGTACACATGCAGATCGTAGGGTCGATGTGTCGTGTTCCGCAGATACTCAAAGTCTTCTCCGGTATATTTGTTCGCCTTCAAGATGGCTTTGAGGTTCCAGTCAGTCCAATAGACGTAATCATCAAAAACTGTTATAGCGAAGACATGAGGAACTTTCTCGCCTCGGAGAATTTCGTGTCTGTTCATTCCATCCAAATCAGCAAACGCGATGTAATCAAGATGAGCGTCCGCCCAGAAAATTCTATCCGTAAAGTAATCTATAGTTAGGGCGTTAGGCCAGATGATCTTTTGATCAAACGTCAAGATTCTTGAGAAGTCGGAGCCATCCATGCCTACCCTGCCGATGTAGGACTGCAAGTGCCAGTCCGTGAAGTAAACATACCCAATTCCAGGATGAACTGCAATAGCCCTGGGATCATTGATACCGTCATTCTTGATCGTGAGACGGTTTCTGCCATCCATTTCAGCAACATCCAAATGTTTAGTGTGACGATCAAGCCAATAAATTTTTCGACCAATCCAATCCACAGCGAGGCCTTCTAGACCATGACTATCATGCTTGATCACTTCTTCCTTATCTGTGCTATTAATCTTGGCCTTGTATATAACTTTCGCTGAGACGTCAGCGAAGAAAATCTCTTCGTTTTTCACATCAAAATCTAAAGCTACGACGTTCCTGAGATCTTGTTGCATGAGCATGTATTGCGACCCGTCTGTTGTCAGACGTCTCACGTAATATTTATTTGAGAAGAATATCCAGGGGACCGTGTCGTCGATGCGTTTACAGCTCTTGTTATCGATCTCCCTGACGTAGTAACGGTCATCACACTTGCAACTGTACGAGCCTGGCGTGTTGAAACACTCTTGCGAACACACGCCCGGCTGTTCCGTGCACTCGTTTACATCCTCGCACGCTTTCTTATCATCCATCAGTCTAGAAATTAAAAGAGATAGTAACAAAATTACTTTAAAAATTTTCAAAACTCGGAGTCTTCATAAAAAGTTAGTGACGAGAAAGCTAATGATAGAAATGCAATATTTCAGAATCTATTACATTTAGCATTAATATTTGCTATTAATGATGCATGCATATTTGAAATAAATACTTCAAAACCCACAAAAAAGAAAGCAAGTTTGCGTTTGATTTTTTACAGTTCAAAAGTGTCGTACATTGCGAGGCAGTTTGCTTCCACATCGGATATAAAGATACCCAGAGTGTTAATGTCAACGAAAGGTGAACACCACGCGAAAAGTTGCTTACTTGTAGCCAGTGTTGCAAGCACACTCGTAGCCGATGATGGTGTTGATGCACTTGTGGCCGCACTGGTTTATCTCGACCTTGGCACACTCATCCACATTGCAGTGTAAGGGCTCGTCCGAGTCGTCCTTGCAATCGGAAACTTTATTGCACACAAGCTTCAGGTCGATGCAGTCGCCGTTCTTACATTGGAACTCTCCAGCAGCGCATTTATTCTTTGGTTCTGATGGGAGGAAGCGTACATGAAAACATCATTGATAATTTGAGCAAAATAGCTTTTTAAATAGTTTTTTTATTACATTCAACAGCCGAGCTAAATGTTGCAGTAATTGTGGATGGTTTTCAGGGGACGCTGAGATGCAATTGTCATAAAGGAAGTTTAAATTATTCAGATTTAACGATAACTGAAAAGATATGTGTTACAAGTTAGTGACTTATACCGTGATTTTGCTAAAAAAATGAATCATAACGTACCGCAATTAGTTTCATCGGAATTGTCGCCGCAGTCGTTCTCGCCATCGCAGCGGTAGGTCTTCCTGACACACTTAACATTGGCACACTCGAACTCTTCTTCAGTGCAGGTGCGGTATTTCTTGCTGCACTCGATACCCTCGTCAGAACCGTCCCCGCAGTCGTTGTCGAAGTCACACACCCAATCCTGCACGCAAACAGCAAGTTTGCTGAATAGGAAACATTTTTGGTATCCTAACACATGTTCCATTCCAAAGGCTCGGCTGACTGAGAGTTTCCCATGATGATCCTGAAGGTCTACGCAATCAATCAGCGATGTAAATACTACTAAATGTACTGTAATACTGTAAAATATACTGTAAATGTATGTAAAATACTGTAAATTCAAATTGATGTGTAATTCAGTTGAAAAGTAACGAATATATCCGACTGATCTATGCAGTTGATCAGCAGACACATTCGGAAGTAGGTATCAATAATGCTGATCAATGATCAGAAGAAGATCCAGATGCTTTGCCATAGTTAGATCCCACAATTAGGATGCATGGAAGTAAAAATTAATAAAAATACGAAAAAATGATACATAACTTGAACAACAACAATTTTGAAACCTGGTTCTGGTTAATCGGACTACTTTGTGACAAAATTATTTTGGTTCTTATATAAACAGTTGGTTCTCATGCTGTTGTTCGCCGCGTTTACATCCCTCAGACCATGAGTGGGGGCTTATTAACCGTCGAGCGGGAGAGGGCGATCAGAAGCAGAAGAAGGTGTTGTGTCAAGTGGAGGGGATTTTCACATTTTTGACAGCGCGAACGTTCCATCCTTGGATGCAAGGTGGTTACACGAGCCCTAGGGCAGCTGTGCTAGCGCATAGGGCGGTAGGGGGCGAAGGAGCTAGTGGGGGAGTCACTACACTGGCGTCCTCGGCAGTCTACTCGGTATGGGAGGAGTTCATCCTAAGTAGGGTGAAGGAGTTCACCCAAAGTAGGGTGAACTCCAGGCAAGATACCAACCACTAGGAAGGGGCAATGTGACGGCCAAAACTATATCACCGGGAGGGCTTCATATGACGGTCACCAGAACGAGTAGAAACGAGCAGGAAACAAATTGGTCCTTATAATCCGACACGATTTTCTAAATAATATAGTTTCGGTGATTTAGTATTTGCCCTAAACAAGCGGGTGGTCCGATTAATCAGAATTAATTCTACAAAAAAAATCTTTGTAATTCTTTACATAAATCTTTACAGTAAATCTTTACATACAAAAAAATTTGAAGAGTAAGATATGAACGCATTTCCCACCTTGTTGATGCAGCGGTTGTTCTTGCACTGATACTCGTTCTCGCCGCACTCTTTGGGTGGAGGGCAGTGGTTGATGGTGCTGTTCTCGTCAGCTCCATCAATACAGTCGGGGTCACCGTCACACACCCAACGCTTGGGGATGCACATCGCTCTCCCCCACTGCTTGTTCGCCGAGCAGTGGAACTCTTCCTTCTCATTGCACTCGCGGCTGTCTGCTTATGAGGTGACAATTAAGATCAATATAAGACATCAAAATCGTAAGCCTGAATCTGGTATTAAATAAAATCTTATAAAAATAGTTCCTCATTTCAAAATTTAAGGATATACGAATAAAATTAAAAATAAATTGCGGACCTTGATTAACTTAGATATATCTCTTTCTTAACGACGAAGGTTTAAGGTCCAAAATGTCCAATAAGGTCTAGCTTACACCGACTAAGACACAGGCAAAGTGCACAGGCTATTCGTGTGATCCGTAATACGCATTGTATTATACTTTTTCGGTCCATGGGATTATTGTATTATGTATGTATCAAATATTACACTATTTTAGCGTCATCATTGTTATATAGTTGTATATGTCAACGAGTATATTATATGCATTAAACGAGTATATATACATTATACTCGTTTGATGTCTTGATACGCATGACATGTTCATGTGATGGAATATTTCAGAAGAATGGACAGCTACTCACTGCACTGATGGCGGTCGTCTTCATCAGAGCCATCAAGACAGTCGTTGTCGCCATCACAGAGGTAGATGTTGGGGATGCAGTTGCCGTTGTCGCAGGTGAAGAGGTCACCGAAGCAGGTGCGTCCCTCCTGACCACAATATTCCTCAGGCTCGTCAGCGCCGTCACCGCAATCGTCGTCCCCATCACAGTGCCACGTCCCAGGGATACAACGATGGTTCGTACATCTGCAAACCACAGGGATACAACGATGGTTCGTACATCTGCAAACCACAGGGATACAACGATGGTTCGTACATCTGCAAACCTTCTGCAAACCACGCGCAATTTGTGTTAGTGATTAATGATAAAGTCTTTTTTTTAATTTAATAATAATTTTAATGATAAAGTCCCCGTCACAGTGCCACGTCCCGGGGATACAACGATGGTTCGTACATCTGCAAACCATGCGCAATTTGCGTTACATCCGACGACGACTCGGAGACGGAGGACGACGAAGGCGGCGCATCAGCGTGACCGGGGACTAGGAAGTCCCGAACTCATCATAAGGTCATAAGGTTAGTGGTTAATGATGAAGCGGTTTTCGATATTTGTTAAATGAATAATTTCGATACTTGTTAATGAATAACGATGTTGTAAATAAAAAAAAACTTTAATAACTTTGGATGCAAATTAATTCTACGCGCAGATGCGTTTAAGATAAACGACTGCAATAAGTGGAAATAGACTTGAATGAAACAATTTCCATTTTTAACAGGTAACACCGACAGAAATTTTGGACGATCAACAAACATGACTGCATGACTGCTTTACAAACATGATCAATATAAGACAGAATTTTCAGGCAAATAAGAATAATAGCATATTACGTGAATAAGAATACTAATTTTGTCATAAATATTTCAAGTAACAACAAATTTCGCGTGGGTGCTATCAGTACCATTATTTAAAACGGATTATTCTTTTGTCATAATAGTTTTCCTGTCAATAGATTGCACGCTGCATAAATAGCTTTTGCATCAATAGATTGCATGCTGCCTAAATAGCTTTCGCATCAATAGATTGCACGCTGCATAAATAGCTTTTCATCAATAGATTGCACGCTGCATAAATAGCTTTTGCATCAATAGATTGCACGCTGCATAAATAGCTTTTGCATCAATAGATTGCACACGCATAAATAGCTTGTCGCGTCAATAGATTACACGATGCGTAAATAGCTTTCGCATGAATAAATTGCACGCGGGTACAGACCTGAAGCTGTTGGGGGGACAGGATCGGTTGGAACAATGCAGTACGTCTTCGTCAGAGTTGTCACCACAGTCGTTGTCACCATCACAGAGCCAGTAGGGCTCAACACAGATGGTGGTGTTCTGGCACTTGAGGTGGTGCGTGGGACACGTCACTTCAGGGCAGCGCTCAGGCGACTCGTCCGTCGTGTTCTTATCCTTGCAGTTGTTCACGCCGTTACACACCTGGATGGGTGGTTAATTACATGATAATAATTGTTCAGGTTGATACATATGACTGATTGTTGACGAAAGGTTATTAGAAAATTAAGGTAATGGTAATTAAGGTAATTAAGGCAAAGTAATGTATATAAAATAGAAGTGGTTAATTATATAATAATCATCTGTTCAGGTTTATAAATATGACTGATTGTTGACGAAAGGTTATAAGAAATTTTAAGAAGTAAGATAATGTATACAAAATACAAGTGGTTAATTACATAATAATAATGTGTTCAGGTTGATAAATATGACTTATTGTTGATGATAGGTTATTAAAACATTCAAGAAGTAAGATAATGTATACAAAATACAAATGGTTAATTACATGATAATAATGTGTTCAGTTTGATACATATGCTGATTGTTGACGAAAGGTTATTAGAAAATTCAGGAAGTAAGATAATGTATACAAAATACAATAGAAATAACGGAACATGAGCTCCCGCACATACAAATTGAAACTTCTCAACCATAGTCCACGGATACATATACTATCATTAATTCTATTCGTAGCTAAAGGTCAAGCAACGAGAGTCAAAATACAATGAGCTTTAATAACTGAACTGATGATTGTCAATTTATATATTCAATAAAGTATACCTGGCTGATGATTATACCAATAAGGTATACCTGATGATTCCCATTTTATATAAAAGCAATAAAGTATACCTGGCTCTGAGGAATGCAGCGATGGTTGGCGCAGGTAAACTCGCCCTCAGCGCAGTCCGGGTACTCGCATCCCTCCTCGTCGCTGCGGTCGCCGCAGTCGTCTTCGTGGTCGCACTTCCACGTCGAGAAAATGCAGCGGCCGTTCGAGCACCGGAACTCGTTAGGCTTGCACGTGTGGTAAGCTACGAGATCAAGAACCATGGCAAATATGGTAAAACTTATAGACATTGGAAAAAAAACAAGGAAAGAGCTTTGTGAAATCCAGTCATTAATTTTTTCGTATCAGTTTCAATGGAGCTTAAGTAAAATAATAAAATAAGAAGATTCAACTCAACGTTATCAGTGAAATTAAGGTACAAAAAATGTTCAAACTGAACAAAAATGTAATAAAAACAACTGACAAAAGACGGGCGTTACTGACTGCAGTAGTTCTTATCCTCGTCGCTGTTGTCGCCGCAGTCGTCGGAGCCATCGCAGGCCCAGAGTCTGGAGATGCACTTGCCGTTGCCGCAGTAGAACTTGTTGCTCTGGCACGTGTGGTTAGACGGACCACACATCTTGCCTTCGTTGACCAACTTCAGGGTGTTGTTGCACTTGCACTCCACCTGCAACAACAACAACGGTTAACATCACCTGCACTCTACCTGCAGCAACAACAACGGTTAACATCACTTGCACTCTACCTGCAGCAACAACAACGGTTAACGTCACTTGCACTCCACCTGCAGCAACAACAACGGTTAACATCACGTGCACTCCACCTGCAGCAACAACAACGGTTAACATCACTTGCACTCCACCTGCAGCAACAATAACGGTTAACATTACCTGCACTCCACCTGCAACAACAATAACGGTTAACATTACCTGCACTCCACCTGCATACAACGGTTAACATCACCTGCACTCCATCTGCAGCAACAACAACGGTTAACATCACCTGCACTCCACCTGCAGCAACAACAACGGTTAACATCACTTGCACTCCACCTGTAGCAACAACAACGGTTGATACTGCATCTTTAAATACAAAAAATTGAATTTGAAGCAAGACTGAAGAATTACCCTCACAGTAACTAACCTTGTTATCAGTGCTAGGGTGACAGGACTGGGCGCAGCCGCCGTTGTTCACTTGGCAGGGGTTGAGGTTGCACTTTTGTCTTGTGCTCGAAAAGACGTGGATGTCGCGGGGAGATTCCTCCAGCCTGCGTACCATCTCTACCATGTTGCTGCCAGTATACTTGTCTGCCCTGTAGACGCCCCGTAACTGCAGGTCCGTCCAGTAGATGTAGGATCCGTGCACCGTTATGGCGAATGGGTAGATTGTTGCCGCTACCAGCAACTGCCAGTGAAATAGGTTCAGGCAATTAAAAATCCCGGTAAGTTCGCATGGGCAGTCTGGTGGCACAATATATTAGGAAGCAAGGATATCTCCTGTGTCTAAAACATTTCTCACCGTATATTCAGAAATACTAAACCTAATACCTCTATCGTTGCACGAGTAATACGGTCAAGTATGCGCAGAGCACACTTTTTTTGAAGATTTAGATGTATACATTTTCCCGTTTACATTTGTAGCGTAAAATTGGGTAGAACAACTATCTAGCGTACAACTACAACTGTAGCTTATTAACTGGGCGGCTTTAGTGACAAAATTTCAGATCATTTAATCATAACCGTAAATTTTCTTCGCCACTTTCAATTACAGAATATATTTGGAATATTTTAAGATTATGAGACAGAAGATAGCATGCTGCATAAATAGCTTTGGTCGATCTGTAGCTTTGGTCGATCGTAAAGTAAATCGTAACATGTATATATATATATATACATGTTTAATCACCTCTCGCCTGGTTCCGTTCAAGAAGCTCCGCTCAATTTTCTCCTTGACGGCATCAGTCCAGTAGAGCATCTCGTCATCGTAATCGATGGCCAGGCCGCTGGGCTGCGACAGATCCGTCGACACGATCTCTTCACGATACGATCCTGCCATCGTGGATCTGTAGATCTTGCCCGACGTGCCGAAACGACCCCAGTCCGTGAAGTACATGTGACTGTAATGACAGGTAAGGTTATTAGTTAAGCAATGAGATTATTACTTAAGCAATGTATTACTTACGTTGAATTGGGTCATGCCGTTGTAGGTAATGCTCCCTCATTGCACCGCAAATGTTAGAGCAGAATAAATGCAGTTATTTCTTCAAACTTGAAAAATATTCAATAGTTTTTATGCATAGGAACGATATGCTGGCACTTAAAATTCTCGGAATACACTATTTAACACTACATTACATTTATAAAAGTGTTACATTTTATTTTTTATTTATATTACATTAGATCATTATATTTTATAGAAGCATAGATTAACTTATTATTCGATCAGGACTAGATACAGGATCATCACCCCAAGCATGAGATCCTGAATGATTGATTTAAATTTCAGATTTCTGATTTCAGATCCTGATTTAAATAGCCACTGACTCAAAGACTCATTATAGAATAGCAAAATATGTGATCCTGGCTCCATGACGTAAACAATCCATACGTGAATTAAAGAAAAAAGCATTATGCAGATGGCGCTGGCCGGACTCACCCTCTGCACGGATCTAAGACGATGGCTCGGGGCCTGCCGACTTGTATGATCATCACGACGTCGGTGCCGTCCATGTTCATGGCGTAAATGCTGTTGTTCGCTGAGTCTGTCCAATAAATTTTCTGTGACACCCAATCGAATGCCACGCCATCAGGATTGATGCCGTGTTCAATGATGGTCTCTGCGTTCTCAATGTTCGGAGACTCACTCGACAAGATCGATATTTTGGTCTCAGGGCGAATCTGCGTGTAGACGAGTTTTTTGTCTTCGAAGTCGTAATCGATGCCCACGACGTTCATGAGACCCTCGATGGTCTTGAATGGCACAGTGGTACTCTTAGGTGTCAATGAAAGACTCCTAATTTCCGTTCTTGTTGTGAAGATGATGAATTCATCAGAGTCTTCACAATTGCGTTGATTCTCGGCGAGGACGCCTGATGCGCAGGCGCATTTAAGACGCGTGATGTTAGGCGCGTCGATGGGGAAGCTGAAGCAGAGCTGCTCGCAGCCGCCATTGCCGAGACGAGCGCAGGGACTTTCAGCCTGCACATCAATAATTATTGTAGAAAACTCATGGGAAACATGGGAAGTTTGGGGGAAAAGGACTGCAAGCAGATCTAAAACTTTCGCCTAACATGTCGCTTTGGTTTTGAAACGTACAGAACTAACTAGTGAATATAAGTAAGAAGGAATGGGAGCATGGCTGATGAGGAAAATACATAACGCCAACTTGAGATTTGTTCTTAATTAATGACAAACGACAGCCAGAGTTCACCGTAAGTAAGAGCTAGAGCAATATTTATACTCATTCAATGTCATTCGTCAAACTTGAAAAGCCGATCTCGACTTATGAAATAATTTCCATAAGAGTACTCACTTTGGAAGGCTGGTTTCCAGCGTCGTATATGGCGATGTCTCTGAGACTTCTGAGGTTGCTCTTGAAGCGCTCGGCCTGCGTGGTGTTGCCCACGTACTTGGATGCCTTGAAGATGGTGCCCAGGTTGCGGTCCAGCCAGAACACCGAGCCGTTGAAGAGCGCCAGGCCCATGGGGCTCGGCAGGTCTCGACGGATCACCTGGCGGTTACCGCCACTGAAGCTCACCTGTGCAAGAGAAGTGGATCGTCAGAAAATATTTGAGAATTCAACTGCCAAGAAGGCAGTTGAATGCCAATGTGGCAGTTGAATGCCAACTGCCAATGTATGACACGTAACGGGCGAATGAGGGTTGGTTTGTCTTTGCAGAGCAAAATATTCTACAGCGTTCTATTGTACATTTAGTGGCACAAAAACTACCGTTCCCAGGATCATTGATGAATGTAAACTGAGATAGAAGATAAAGCCATATAAATGTGAATAATTTGAAGTAATCTAAATAGATATAAATAATTTTCAAGCCTTAATCCTGTTGGGAAGAAATGATATCAAGATTGTCTCGGCACTGAAATTACAAAAACAATAAAATAAAATTATACAACCGTGAAACACTACTAGGATAGGAAACAGTACTTAGATAAGACGATCGAAAAAGGTTCAGAATGTTGGGCCAAACATAAGCATATATGCTAAAAAATAAATGCTGAAGTTGGGGCACAGAACAATGATGCAAGAGGGGTACAACGAGGTACGCTAAAGCTACCTTATTGATGGTGTCCAGTCTAGAGTCGACCCAGTAGACGTCGTGGGTGAACATGTCCACGGTAATGTCACGGGGGTTGCTCACGCCCGACGTCACGATGGGCTGCCACTTGGACCCGTCCAGATAAGCCTTTCCGATCACGGGGAACTGACCGTAGTCTATCCAGTACAGGTATCTGCGCGTCATGGTATGTATCAATTTACTTATGGAAATTGCTCAAGTAAATAATTATTGGAGTATTAGTGGAACCAGATATCAGAGTATCTGCGCGTCATGGTATCAATTTATTACTGGAAATTACTCAACTAAAATATTATTGGAGTATTAATGAAACCAGATATCAGAGAAACAGCAATGGTTAACGACTATAATAAAAAAGGAATACATGGAGCTCAGACCGTAGCATATCCATTCATGTTATCCTTACACAACTCAGGACGAAGGAAAGGAAAGAAGCAAAAGTTAGTGGATAAGAACGAATTTATAAACTCTTCAGTGCAGCAAAACATCTTTAGAATTTCCAACTATTATTATTATTATTAAAATATTGTGATGAAATACATCCCGTATAAAAATATTTATTCTTACTATTACTTCAAGCGTACGTAGCTATTAGTGGCTGAAAATATTATTAGAGGTTTGTTTTAAACGAACCAAAACATAAAAAATATTCATCATATATGAAGAAATATAACAAGCAATAAGATAAACAATTGAGTGGCATGTGCCGTTGGTGATCACAAGTCTATGTCGCGTTGCAAACCTAAGAAGGAAGAAATGAAATTAAACGCTCAAATATGCAAGCGCAACTAATTCCTTCTTAGCGCACATAAGATATAATCTGACTTTTCAAAACCAAAACAAAGTGTAAACTAAACTTTATCAAACAAGAATATGATGAAATCAAACAAAAGTCAATTTGATGAAGTCAAACTCAATTTGTCAAAGAAAAAGTCAATTTGATGAAGTCAAACTCAATTTGTCAAAGAAAAAGTCAATTTGATGAAGTCAAACCCAAAGAAAGTGTAAACTAAACTTTATCAAACAAGAATATGATGAAATCAAACAAAAGTCAATTTGATGAAGTCAAACAAAATTCAATTTGATGAAGTCAAACTCAATTTGTCAAAAAAAAAAGTCAATTTGATGAAGTCGACTCACCTCTTGACAGGGTTGACAGCGAGCTCCCTAGGGGCGTCTTTAGTGAGCCGTTGCAGGACCTTCCTATGGGTGCCGTCGAGCCAGGAGACCTCGACATGAGTCTCGTGAGGGAACACGTTCGTGAAGTACATGTTATTCGCGATCCAGTCGATGGCAAGGCCCCTGATGCCGTTGGACCCGATCCCGCTCGAAATTATGGGTTCTAGGCTAGACCCGTTCGGGTTAGAGCGATAAATGCCGTTCAAGCCGATCAGGTTAAACTCGATCCAGTAGATGAAGTTCTTGAGGTAGTGGAAGTCGACGTGTAGAACGTTATGGCCTGAGGAGAGTTATGATGAGAATCTTATAATAGTTGAGCTATACATCAAAAAATGTATAATGATTAATTTAATATTATTAATAAGAGAATACTTTAGGGGAACTTTCTTGGTTTGAGTTTCAGAAAACAAATACTAAAAAAACATAAGAAACACGGCTTTGTATATCAAATGAGAAGCTCGCTATCTTTGATAGAATCTATGGACCCTGCAACTGGATAATCTTCTTACCTGGTCCAGAAATGGGCGTCATGGCTTCAGCGGCTTCATCGAGACTGTATCCTCTGACGATGTCGAGCTGCGAGACGATGGCAAAGCTCTTGTAAGGCTTGCATCTCGTTTCATCGTCGGGCTTGTATCCAGTTGAGCATTTACACACTCGCTGGTTGCTGATCTTAGGTATGCAGATGTGTTCGCAGCCTCCGTTGCCCACGGTGCAGGGGTGAGAGGAGATCATCGGGCGCTTCTGGAATATCTTCAGGGTGCTCAGATCCTGGATGTTGTCCATGAGCTTCACAGGGTTCTTGCCGTCAGGAAGGTCGACGCGAACCACCTTCTCATACACCGAGTCCAGGTAGTAAAGTCCTGATGTAAGAAGAAACGACAGGGAATAAATTAAAACTGATCAAAAGAGGGTAGGCCTGAGGCTAGGATGATGATATCTTACTGAGTTATTGATCACCATAACCATAATTTTTATGATATCATAACAATCCCACGTCGGTGCAAGCAAGTTCACCTCTCGCGTTCTTACCCTTATTTGCTCAGCTACGGTCTAGAAACGGCATCACCTATATATCCCAGCAGGCAACTGACGTTGGAATAACTTTAATTGAACGTACTTCAACGAAATAAACTCGTAATCAACTTTGTTTTGTCCTACACGACCATATGCATGGCGAGGCGCTCCGTAGCCTATATGCATGGACCAATGCTACAAGTGCATAGACCCCTTCGCTTCAATAAACAACTGTTTTCCTCATTTTTTTTCTTTTAGAAGTCATCCTGTTACAATATTTCACTTCAAAGCTTGATGCCCTGATAAAGCGTTTGTCTCCTAGGCCTGCTCCTTATTTTCCCTTCAAGCTTCCTCCTCTTTCGGCTGCCCTCACAGTTAAATTGCAGATAAATTTATAAACCCCAAGATAAACTGTTTTCTGACTGAAGATGAAAATAGTAAATTATGAAGATTTTGGCCAACCATAAGTACGATTTAATAGTATTGAATGTGTCATTCTATATTTAAATAGTTAGGACATTGGAAGAGAAGTCGAGGCGCGGTTACTCATGCAAGAGGTCCTTATTGATTAATGATATCTATGTAAAAAATCAATATATAATATAAGAGATTAAGTTGTCAAAGTGCAGAAAAAATTTTGTTCTGCACAAACAATATCATTCTACACACTGCAGTGTTTTCCTACGCTGGAGCAGTTCGCAGAAAAATTTGGTTCTGCACAAAAAATTTAATTCTACACACTGCAGTATTTTTCTACGCTGGAGCAGTTCGCGATGCTCATTTGTTTGTGTACTGACGTGAGGTGTAGACGGCGAGGGCCCCAGGCTTGGCGATGTTGTCGGCCTCAGTCAGGATCTTGCGTAGGAAGTTACCGCTCAGATCGCTCGTCATGATCTGTGACATGAGAATATTGCTCATTTCAATAGGTGTTTTGCGCCATGTTCATATGTGATGCGGTTTATGTTCATAGGGGATTCGGTTGATGTTCATAGCGAATTTGATTTACGTTCATGGATTTGTTTCGGGGGATTTGTTTACTGTTCATAGGTTATTCGGTTGATATTTATGGTAGTTTCATATTCATAATCAACATCATAATCTATGTTTACAACAGGAGCGGGTAACAGGCAGCGTGTGATCCAAGATTGGACCACGACGCAGTTTAGTTTACATCCTGAATTGGCGCCAAGTGGCACACACAACGTAACTGACAAAATGATCATTAGGGCACTATATCAAAAACATCTTTTCTAAATGGGCCTCTCTAAAATTGAGTGGAAGTCTCCTGATCTAAAATACCAATACAATAAAAATGTTTTGAAGCTGTACAGAACCTTGAAAAAGATTTGAGGTAAAAAATGTAACGATTAACGGATCAAAGTAAAAAATAATTTCACAGCCATCGTCAGCGAATCGTTTACGTTGACTACTAAACTCTTTGCCAACCCATTTTTGTGGTTATTTCGTTACGAATGATAGTGTAACAAGTGATCCAGGTAGTGTTTTTTGGTCGTGAAGATGGTACCGGGATGTTGGAGGTCAGTTTTTAGTTAATTATAAAAGTTACTTAGTTAACCCACCTCAGAGCGAACATTTTCCAGCAGCTTGAAATGAGATAACGAATAGGAAGTCAATATTTATTCATCAGTACATTATCAGCTTAATAATTACCATAAAACCATACAAGATGAAAAAATGATAATATAAGTTCATATTGCAGCTTCAATCCTATAAATAATTTGCTTACAATTTTTTTTGAGGTTATTTGAGCTGAATCCAATCATTTCTATGGTTAATTTGAAACGTAAAAAAATGTGTTTTTCGATTCTTTTATTTGCTCAAGTAAAGTAAAATCAAAAAGCTTGGACCAGCTCTGTCACGTACATAGCAATAGAGTCGTGGAATATATCAAGGCATACCGAGTCCAATTATTCGTTTGGTCCAACAGACGAAACACGAAGAGATTGGAAACATTTGCATGACCGCAAATCTTGAGCCTGGATGCCTCAAATCGTGTTCGATTTTTGCCATAGGATGAAGATTTGAATGCACTTAAAATTTTGTTGTTAAATGTTAACGGTTACGTTCAGAACTAATTATGAGATAAAATAAGAATTGGGAAGAGATTTGTACATACGGAAGCCTCATTGCTGGTGGACCAGTAGAGCTGCTGCGACTCGACGTCGATGGTGATGGCTTGTGGCCGCAGCACGGACGTGAAGTTGTGCAGGATGAGGCTCTCCGTGCCGTCCATGTTGACGCGACCAACCTTTGCTGGTACACCAACTCCTCCTTCGTCAAGCCAGTACAGCCGACTGTAAGGGAATCAATATTAATACAAATTATATTATAATAAATCAATATAAATTTAATATCAATATAAATTCTTTTCACCTCCATCAGCATGACGTAGTCACTTGCCTCTACGCTCATGTCTTGCATAAACAATTAAGTATTAGGTGCCTTTATATCTAATTTTTTATCGCTGGCAGACATGGTAGGATAGGACTCACCCCATGAGGGGGTCTAGGCACAGGATGAGACTCACCCCATGAGGGGGTCTAGGTGCAGGATAAGACTCACCCCATGAGGGGGTCTAGGCACAAGATAAGACTCACCCCATGAGAGGGTCTAGGCACAGGATAAGACTCACCCCATGAGTGGGTCTAGGCACAGACTCTTCGGTCTGCTGACGCCGAGCGCCGTGCCGTCGTTGGCTAGGATGACGCTCTGGTAGCGCGTGTCTTCATCCTTCACTTTGATCACCTGAGATTAATTATAAATGAGATTAATTAAATGAGAATAATTATGCTTTATCACACAAAATTAAGCTAAAACTAATAGGTCTGCATATATAAAATTTGTATAAAAAATTTGTCACTTTGCTAAAATGCAGTGAAACTAAGACAGAAATTATGCGAGATTCTCAAACGAGTTAAAACTGTTTTTTGATGCATTGTGATAAAATATATAAATAGAACACTTGATGATAAATGAACAACTGAGCACTTGACGACAAACAATCACAATTTGTGTAGAACTAAGCATCTCCCGACAGGACTGTAAGCAAACATGTTAATGGCGCGGTTGCCGACGTACATGTTACCAAACATGCGCTAAGTGCAAGACTCGCCTGGATGTTGTTGGCAGCGCGGTTGCCGACGTACATGTTACGAAACATGCGCTAAATGCGAGACTCGCCTGGATGTTGTTGGCAGCGCGGTTGCCGACGTACATGTTCCGCGCGACCCAGTCGAAGGCGATGGCGTACGCGCGCCCCACGATGCCCGACGGACCGAGGTACTCGGTCTTGTTGCCTCCCGACAGCTTCATCGAGTAAATTGTGCCCTGCAATGACGCACCTAATTAGTCACCATGCACAAAACGCTCCACTTTACAACTGTAAAGCATCAGATATCTTGCTACTTCAAGATATTTATGTATCTGTAGACAAAGTTCCAACACATTTCTCTACAATTAATACCAAAAAATAGACCGTAAGACAACGTAACTGACATTGTCACTGTCAGGCTCGTCGAGCTCGACCCAGAAGACAGTGTCGTCCTTCCTGTCGTAGTCGAGCTGCACGCCGTTCTTGACGCCGATCACGGGCGTGAAGTAACCGATGGTTCCTTGTGCCTCGCCAGGCATGAGCTCCAGGTCCACAATCTGCTCCCCCTTGATCACCATCAGGTACGGGGTCTCCTCTGTACCAGGAAAAAAGTAGTGTCATGGTAGGGTAATTATATTGCAGAATGAGCAGAAGGGCTTCAATCTGCTCCCCCTTGATCACCATCAGGTACGGGGTCTCCTCTGTACCAGGGAACAAGTAGTGTCATGGTACGCTAATTATATTGCAGATATACTTGCTGTCGTCTTGGTATGCACGAATGATACGGGGATTACGCTCTCAAAATGATCATCGTAAATTATTTATTAATTTACTTTATGGAGCGAAGGCTATTTGATGATCTTGAAAAGGAAAAGCGACTTATTAATTCACTATAGAAGCAGTGAAAATAAAATTGCGAAATCCATTAGGACTTTGTCGTGCCTTAATTTTAATCATTATAATTAGGGTTAGTCGTAGAAATTCCAGTCACTCACCAGACTGTAAAATTATATGAGCGGACCTCTGTTTAAATTAAATTTTAACGGGCCTCTGTTGAATTTACTGTTCATTATTAATGATCAGACTCAACCTAATTGCATTAAATTCGCTCAGTCTCACACGACAGTAAACTAAATTGTCAGTAGGACCAACGGACCGGTCACTACTGCATTTGCCAGTCATTGCTATTGATCAAATTAATCAAGATTTCATTAAATTCACTCAGACCAACAACAAGCAGAACAATGAATGATGATGTCAATGAATTAGGAAAGTCCATCGAACCTCTGTTGCATTTCCCGGTTGAGGAGAGCTTGTATCCTGGCCTGCAGAGGCAGGAGTATCCTGAGGGATGCTTCAGGACGCACATGTGGCCACAGGACGCCGCCTCGCACGGGTTCTTCTCCATCGGCTGAGAAAAATTGATGACACCGCAATTAAAATGACGTCGATTTAAATAAAACACTCTGGCATACATCAAGAAATTAAATATTAGTTTAAACTCGTGTGATTATTAGCACTCATGGTTATTCTTAGATGACGGCAGAAAACTTTTTCTTACGCCATGCACACTTCATCTCAGTCGAAAGAAAATTATAAATTTGACTGGGGCCATACTTTCAAAACTCGCTGATTGAACGTAAGTACTTACGCTCTATTTTCTTGTCTATGATTGGTGGATTTTGCTTGAAAGGCCGTCAATGATTGGCTGATGAATTTACGATCTTTTAACTTTTTTTGAAAGTATAGGCCCTGGTGGCTAAAATACTTGCAATTTAAGTTCAAGACTCATAAGAAAAATTACGTACTATTTCAATTGCTACGCACCTGCAGCACGGGATGCTTGACGTGTATGCTGAGTGTCTGCTACCTGCACGTGTATGCTATGAGTGTATGCTATGACATGTATGCTACCTGCAGCACGGGATGCTTGACATGTATGCTACCTGCAGCACGGGATGCTTGACATGTATGCTACCTGCAGCACGGGATGCTTGACATGTATGCTGAGAGGCTGCGAGATGAGGTGCGACACGACGGTCTCGTTGTCGCCGCGGAACTTGTGTGCTGACAGCACGCGGTTGAGCTGACGATCTGTCCAGTACAGCACGTCCTCGAACACCGTCAGTGAGTGCGGGTGTAGCAGGTAGTGGCTCTGTGCCAGCACCTGTCAGCAGCACTTCAGTTACCTCAGTGTAACTCTAGTTACCTCATGGTAAATTTTAGTTACGTTAGTGTAACTCTAGTTACCTCAGTGCAACTCTAGTTACGTCAGTGTAACTCTAGTTACGTCAGTGTAACTCTAGTTACCTCATGGTAACTCTAACTACATCATGGTAGCTCTAGTTACATCATGGTAATTCTAGTTACCTCATGGTAACTCTAGTTACCTAATGGTAACTCTGGTTACCTCAGTGTAACTCCGAGTGGCTAATATCACCATTATTGTGCAAAGCGAGTAGTTAGGTGTGAAATTTTAAATTGAAATCGGCATTTAGTGATCCAGTACACAACGAGTTCAAAATTACGAGTAAATGGGTGCTTTGAGCACAAATGCTAAATAACAGGTAATTCCCATTCTTGAAATTACTTCATAATACAAGCATTTTGATCAGCGAATTCGCTTATCGCTACAATACAAAACATGCACACGCTGGAACCTAATTTTTCCCCTTGAAAATAAAAATGCCTCCTTCTACAACATAAAGAAAACTTCTCGTGTGTTCTTGTGAGCCAAGATAAGGCCATAGCATTCTTACGGGTCACAATAGTTATGTCTCACGATTTCTCATGAATTATCGAAGTAAACAAGACTAGTTTAAACTGACCTGCTGCCTGCCACTGCCATCGTAGTTGCAGAAGTCGAAGTAGACAAGACAAGTTTAGACTAACCTGCTGCCTGCCACTGCCATCGTAGTTGCAGAAGTCGAAGTAAACAAGAAAAGTTTAAACTAACCTGTTGCCTGCCACTGCCATCGTAGTTGCAGAAGTCGATGTAGTCGAGTTAAGAGTCATAAACAACCCGAGTTTAAACTAACCTGCTGCCTGCCACTGCCATCGTAGTTGCAGAAGTCGATGTAGTCGAGTTAAGAGTCATAAACAACCCGAGTTTAAACTAACCTGCTGCCTGCCACTGCCATCGTAGTTGCAGAAGTCGATGTAGTCGAGTTAAGAGTCATAAACAACCCGAGTTTAAACTAACCTGCTGCCTGCCACTGCCATCGTAGTTGCAGAAGTCGATGTAGTCGAGTTTAGAGTCAGCGAAGTAGATGCGTTTGGTTGGCATGTCGATGGCGAGGCCGTTGGGCCAGAAGATCTTCGAGTTGATGATCACCGAGCGGTTGCTGCCGTCCATACTGGCGCGCTCAATGCGAGGGTTGTCGCCCCAGTCCGTCCAGAACAACCAGCGCGAACTTCACACAAAGAAAGCCATAGTTTAACGGCAAATAAAATCAATCGACAGTTATGGAAAGTTCAGGTTCAAAAGGCCGGATCCCTTGTGGAATCAAGTCAAGAAAGTACGAGAATCGGCCGCAGGCCATGGGCCTATTTCTTCAGTGCCGACAATTCTATGTTATTCTAAATATGTCGAAGTTCTAAACAAAAAGATGAGGAGGTGGCTTGACGATATACATATCAGCAAATTAGCAAGATGTGCACGTACTTGATATTTTATAAACAAACACGTACGGTAGGATCTATAAGATGTTGCAGCGATATAATATAGGTGCGACTTGTAGTTCATAAGTCCCACTGTTATAACTCATGACTACCCAGAAGATTACTGTAATCGAAAGTTCTGACCAACATTTCGTCATTTCTCATTAGCTATTAAGTCGCCGTTGCCACTATTGATCTCAATATCAATATTATCATGTAATGCAACATCATAATAACATGATAATCACCACCTCTGATAAGCCTACTCACTCCTCGGTGGGATAGCATATGAACTGTGACAGCATGTAATAACCCTATTACAGTAATAACCCCATTATTAGTTAGACCACCCACCCCGCCCCCACATCGCAACTCACCCCTCGGTGGGGTCGACGTTGAGGCCCCTGGGTTGCGTGATGTTCTTGTTGAGGAGAACAATTCTGTTACGACCGTCCCGAGACGCGGTCTCGATGGTATTCAGGCGCGAGTCCAGCCAGTAAATGTTGCCCGTGATCCAGTCGTACGCCAAGCCCTCTACCAGGTCCAGGCCGTTCGTGATCAACTGAGAATATAACAAAAGATATCACTAAATAATAACCCAATACAGCAAAAAGTAACACTAAATATTCTAACTTTATCTATACTTTTATTGCATTCAAAATACAAAAGGAAAGCTTTCAACTTGCAGAAAGCCTCATTCAGCGTATACGCCTAACGTAGACGTTATTTATTGATTTAAGCTGCTGCATGAATAATATATCAAGTTTTTCTCTATTTATTGATACAAAAATGCAAACCATTGCAGCATAAATGAACCAAGTTCATTTCAACAGCAGTTTGCATTTATACAGAGAATCAGTAAATAAAATCATGAACTGATCCACCTCATCCAGCGCCATCAACTGTTCAGCAACAGCGAGCGTCCATACCACTTGGTAATAAAAGGGTAAATCGGTCATACTATCTCCACATTAAAATTGAAAGCTTTTAAAACTGACCAACTTATTTCAATTAATTCTTATAAACACCAATTAATCACCATAATGACCATACAAATACCATGATAATGCATTAATTTCCTTAAAAATACCACAACATTGCAGCAATTACCTTATAAACACCTTAATATTGTCTTATTCACATTATACAAACACCATTCTATCACCATAACGACTCTAAAAAATACAATCAAAATAACTTAATAACCATCCGAATATTTCGACAATAACGCAATTAACACAACTCCACTAGGACTCACATCAACGGGATCCTGTCCCTCATCGATCATCATGATCTTCTTAAGCTTCATGTCGGACCAGAAGAGCGTGTTAACACAACAACGCTACTACAACGCAATTAACACAACAACGCTGCTACAACGCTACTACAACGCAATTAACACAACAACGCTATTAACACAACAACGCTACTAGGACTCACGTCAACAGGATCCTGTCCCTCGTCGATCATCATGATCTTCTTGAGCTTCATGTCGGACCAGAAGAGCGTGTTAACACAACAACGCTACTACAAAGCTATTGATACAACAACGCTACTACAACGCTATTGATACAACAACGCTACTACAACGCTATTAACACAACAAGGCTACTAGGACCCACATCAACGGGATCCTGTCCCTCGTCGATCATCATGATCTTCTTGAGCTTCATGTCGGACCAGAAGAGCGTGTTAACGCAACCACGCTACTACAACGCTACTAACACAACAACGCTACTACAACGCTACTACAACGCTACTACAACGCTATTAACACAACAACGCTACTACAACGCTATTAACACAACAACGCTACTACAACGCTACTAGGACTCACGTCAACGGGGTCCTGTCCCTCGTCGATCATCATGATCTTCTTGAGCTTCATGTCGGACCAGAAGAGCGTGTTGTTGTGCATGTCTGACGCCGTAGCCACGACGTTCTCGAAGCTCACGGGCACGCGCTCCAGGCTGCGCTGCTGCAGGTCTGCCAGCAGGATACTGCGACGGTTGCTGATAACCAGTTTAGCTTCAGAGTGATCTGTAATGATGGGGTTGATATAGAGTGACCTGCAATGATAGGGTTAATACAGAGTGATTGTAATGATGGGGTTAATACGGAGTGATTGTAATGATGGGGTTGATTCAGAGTGATTTTATTGATAAGGCTACTTCAGAGTGATCTGCAATGATAGGGTTTATACAGAGTTATCTGCAATGAGGGTTAATACAGACTAATCTGGAAACAACAGGCTACTTCAGAACGATCTGCTATACGATCAGTGAACTTGTCCTGGGTTCAAAACACGCGGGACCAATTAACGCGTCTGCAATAAACAATAGTAACGTAACCTTGAATGATATGACGAATCGAGACGATTAGCGAGCTTTATTATTTCGATCAAACCTGGACGTAACATCTGCTTCTTGATTCACGGATTTTAGTAGAGGCTAAGCGAGATAAGGGAGCAAGTGTTGCGCATCTTATGTGATCTTACCTTCTCCAATAATCATATGAGTTGATATGCGGACACCGTGCTCTTAGCGAAGCAACGAATGAACTAACGAAAAAAATAGTGATAATAAAATAAAATATTTACAAAGTTCGGGAATGAATTTAAAAAATATTAAACCTAAGACTAAAGTGGAGTAATTTAAATTCCGTACACACCTTAAAGGAAGGAGGTAAATAAATCAAAATGTATCAATTATTAGCATCAAAATTACTTATTTTCATTGATGACAACATCAAAATCAATAGTGAGAGTTAGTCACCGAAGTAGACAAAATCATATAATTCGCTGGTAACTCATGGTAACTCTAATTATTTATCTAATGGTAACTCATGGTAAAATTATTTATCTAATGGTAACTCATGGTAACTCCAATTATTTATCTAATGGTAACTCATGGTAATTCGCTGATTAATTAGATTACATCACCGTAAAGCGTTATTAAAACAAGCAAGGAACTGACTGAATGTCTTGCATGTTGTCTTGTCGGCGTCGAGCAGGTATCCTTCAACGCAGGAGCAGACGAAGGATCCCTTGTTGTTGGTGCAGGACTGTGAGCAGGAGCCTGGGGGCTCGCACTCGTTGATGTCTTCACACACGTGCTCGCTGCCCTCCATCAGGCGCTCCCCTAGAGCACATGTGCACACGGCGCCCTGCCGACACATCATATGTCCGTGTTATCAGTATCAACGTATGAAACAAGCACATCAACACATCATATGTCCGTGTTATCAGTATTAACGTATAAAAATAAGCTTATTAATACATCATATGTCCGTGTTATCAGTATTAACGTATAAAAACAAGCTTATTAATACATCATATGTCCGTGTTATCAGTATCAACATATATCAACATGTCCGTGTCATCAATGTCAACGTAAAAAACAAGCGCATTAACACATCATATGTCCGTGTTATCAATATCAACGTATGAAACAAGCGCATTAACACATCATATGTCCGTGTTATCAATATCAACATACAAAAACAATCGTACTAACACTTCATATGCCCGTCTTATCAATCTTAATCAATATCAACGTATAAAAACAAGCGCATTAACATTCTGAGAATACACGCAGTCGCATTAGCAGGAAACATATCAAGATTCGTGCGCCTCGCACTCTAAGACCTGCAAACTTTGATTTGAATCTTGATAAGGCGATCGTGACTTTCCCTTGAGACTTGAATGGAGGCCACTGCTACCATCAATATCCTTATCACAATAATCAAGTGGTAGAGGAAGGTACTCAAATTACTAATGTCGTTTATAACATTCATATACAAATTTAAAGGTAGTAGAGGAAGGGCCAATGCGGCACTCAAAGTACTAATGTCATAAAAAAAACATTCACAACATGTACAAATAAAGGTAGTAGAGGAAGGGCTAATGCATCATCAACATTCATACAAAAATCAACATCACACTGGAAAATAACTAAATATGGGAGAAGCACTTCATAAACATCATAAATCCTAACCGACAAAATGAGAATGTATGCGAATTCCTGAATTAAAATTAGTAATATTTATAATTGTTCGCGACACTAACATTTGGGGTCTGGATGCATCCAACAGAGCAGATGTTGCCCTTGCAGTCATCCACGTTACATCCGAGCCCCTCATCCATGCCGTTGGGGCAGTCCTTTTTGCCGTCGCACACGGACGTCTCGTTCACGCACGACCGGTCCAAGTTCGGGCACTTCCATTGACCGCTGGGGCAACTGCATGCGTGAAGAAAATAAATTATGTTATTTTCTTGGCGTGAGAGACGTCTTTTGTTGATGGAATTGGAGCACTTGCATTGCTTGGGTATTTGGTGTAACAGGATCAGAGATTAAGTAGTTCGAAACCTGACGGAAAAATGGGCCAAAGTAGACAGAAGGGGGCAACAATATGAAATGAAATTAAGCTACGTTCATTACAAACTTATCTTGAAAGAAATATCACGATTTGCGCCTTTTTTCATTTCCATAGAGTGCTTAGCCCTTCGTTACTTTTGTTACGACAATAAAAACAGTTAATATAGAGAACAGTTATGAATTTTCAGTGCTATATATCTCGTAATTTGATGAAATCAACGTATTATCGAGAACATATTTGCCATAAGTCATAATCCTTTCATGCATCGGCGATTATTCCAACGGACATGAAAACGACTCCACGGAACGCAGTATATTGTAATACTATTACTAATACTAATACTATACTATACTATTACGTATACTATACTAATACTATACTATACTAATACGTATACTATAATACTATACTAATACGTATAGTATACTAATACTATACTATACTAATACGCGGCTCACCGGAACGCAGGTTTGCCGCAGATCTCAGCGTTGGATTCATCAGAGCCATCGCCGCAGTCGTCTTCTCCATCGCACAGCCACGAGTGGAAGACGCAGCGCGAGTTGTTGCAGCGGTAGTCAGAGCTCGGACACTTCACCTATTTAATGTAACATATTTAATATATCATACTTGAAAGAACCTATTTTATTTAACATTAAATTAACATTCAGCGAACACCTATTCAATGTGGCACACTTAATATATCATACTTGAAAGACTCTATTATGTTTTACATTAAATTAACATTCGACGAATTGATGATGCCTCTGTTACATGTGATGAAAATGTAACAGCCGAGCACTCATCGGAGCACAATCCGAGTGTTACATTGCTGTCCGTGAGGTGCGATTTTTGACAAATTTAGAGGGCTAAGAAAATCAATTTAGGAAAAGATTATCCGATGAAATCACATTGCGCACGCCACAGCTAATGGGATACCATGATTTGAAAAATTAAATTAAAGTAAAAAATGTATAAAAAGTTTACAGTTCGCATGAATAACTCAATAAATCGTTCGTACTGTAACTAAAACTTTGAAATTAGGTTCAATACATTTTATTTTAGATATTTCCATGATGATGATTAGACTACTGACCTCACCACAGGCCTCTGACTCATTAGACCCGTCTACTCATCAGACCCGTCCACTGTCAGACCCGTCTACTGTCAGACCCGTCTACTGTCAGACCCGTCTACTCACCAGACCCGTCTACTGTCAGACCCGTCTACTGTCAGACCCGTCCACTCATCAGACCCGTCTACTCATCAGACCCGTCCACTCATCAGACCCGTCTACTCACCAGACCCGTCTACTGTCAGACCCGTCTACTGTCAGACCCGTCCACTCATCAGACCCGTCTACTCATCAGACCCGTCCACTCATCAGACCCGTCTACTCATCAGACCCGTCTAAGCATCAGACCCGTCCACTCATCAGACCCGTCCACTCATCAGACCCGTCTACTGTCAGACCCGTCTACTGTCAGACCCGTCTACTGTCACACCCGTCTACTGTCAGACCCGTCTACTCATCAGACCCGTCTACTACTGACCTCGCCACAGGCCTCCGACTCATCAGACCCGTCTACTACTGACCTCGCCACAGGCCTCCGACTCATCGGACCCGTCTTCGCAGTCCTGAGTGCCGTCGCAGCGCCAGTTGATGGGCAGACACACTCCGCTCTTCTCGCACCGGAACTGCATTTCTTTGTTGCAAGTATCGGTGCCGACTTTTTCGCATCCGAGCTCATCTGACGAGTCATCGCAGTCGGAAATACCATCACATTTATAAGACTCATGGATGCACTGGACTTGGTTATTGCACTTGAACTGAGCCGCGGTGCAAGCTATCGGAGGACAGCCTTCTTCATCCTTGTTGTCGTAGCAGTCGTTGTCACCGTCGCACACCCAAGACTGGGGGATGCAGGTGCCGGTGCTGGGGCACGTGAACTGGAAATATGAACACGTTTTGTTTGCACACAAAGGACCCTCGTCGGAACTGTCCCCGCAATCGTTTTCGGAGTCACATTTCCAGTTCTGCGGGATACAGCGGCCGTTAGCGCACTGGAAGTAGGAGCTTTCACATGTGAAGTTCCCACATCCTGTTTCATCGGAGAAATCACTGCAGTCGTTGTCGGAATCGCATTTGAATATCGCTGGGATGCATTTACCAGACTCGCACCTGAACTCTTCCTCAGTACACGTCACTTTCGTGCAATTTTGCTCCTCGTCGGAATTGTCGAAGCAATCGTCAGCGCCGTCACACTTCCACGTCTTCTGGATACATCTTCCATTTGCGCACGTGAAGTCCCAAGGTGCGCACGATGGATCGTTCTTCTCGGCCTCAGGATCAACGGAACAAGTCTTGCCGTTTGCGTCTAATTTTTCTCCTTGCGAACACCCGCACTGAGCTATGAGGAAACCTGTGGAATTATCAGGGATTGGGTAGCAGAATTTATGGCACGAATGTTTGCCCTCGATGCACGGGTGGGACGGGTCGGTGGTCTGGGCACGGGTACTGTACACGCGGATGCCGTACAGTCTGTTGCTCTCCTCGATCTCGGCGACGACTGTCTCGTCCGCACCGTCGAGTTTGTTCATGCGGAAGATGGAATCGTGGCGCCACTCCGTGACGTACAGCCAGTCTGGGGCGAGCAAGATCATGTTACGCTGCGATGGTAGTAAGAGAAATGCGAGCAATGTGTCAGCAGCGAATGATGGAAACTATATTGAATGATGAACTATATACCAATGTGAATAAAGCTATTAATCAAATGTAGGAAGATGCGAAAGCTGTGCTTAACTAACGCGAGTAAGCAATACTACAGAGCAACGAATAAACATTTAAAAATATTTTTGGCACTTTATATGCATCTGTTTCCATATTGTGCGACGTACTCAAAAAGCAGAAATCTTTTTTACCGTCGAATAAAACGAGAAAGAAATACTACCTGAAATAAGAATTCCTTACAATCGAATATACTCACCATCGAATATAATCACCCTAGAAAATATACTCACCATGGGATATACTCACCCTAGAAAATATACTCACCATCGAATATGCTCACCCTAGAAAATATACCCACCATGGAATATAGTCACCCTAGAAAATATACCCACCATGTAATATACCCGCCATGGAATATACTCACCCTAGAAAATATACCCACCATCGAATATACTCACCATCGAATATACTCACCCTAGAAAATATACTCACCATCGAATATACTCACCCTAGAAAATATACCCACCATGTAATATACCCGCCATGGAATATACTCACCCTAGAAAATATACCCACCATCGAATATACTCACCATCGAATATACTCACCCTAGAAAATATACTCACCATCGAATATAACGAGGGAGAAGGGATGCCTGATGCTGGGACTGGATATCATCTTGACGTCGGAGCCGTCGAGGTTGGCGTACTGGATGTGGTCGAGCAGCGCGTCGCACCAGTAGATCTTGTCGGTCTGGTAGTCGATGGAGAGACCGTTGGGCCAGCCAAGGAGGACGTTCCTGAACACCATCACGTTGGAGCCGTCCAGATACGCGCGGCTGATGTTAGCGGGACGGTCCCATTCAGAGAAGAACACGTACCTGTTGTGAAGAAATAGCAATGATTTGTAGCTTACGAAGAAAGACGGAAATCTACGGGGTGAAATTTTTTGAAAGAATAAAGTAATTTTGTAGTTGAAAATATTAATGAAAAATAAGATCAAACTTGCCAGGGGTCGCGAAAATACACAGGATTTTAGTAATCGCAAGCATACGAAGATCAGTGTATATAGTTAAGCAAAACAGGTGAAATATGGCGGAGCAGCAAAATACTTGGAAGCTCTTACTGAATCAAAAGGTGTAACAGAATAATGCAAAGCATGAATTGGATAAGTGAACAATTAATTTGAAAAACTTCAGTATAAATTGGAATCAGAAAGTTTGATTACATAAAGCAATTTACACATAATTTTGCACATGAAATTTTATAATACTTACAGCTGCCTACAGAATTGTCTCCTGCTTTAACCCACAATCATATTCTCGGAAAAAGACTGCCTATATTTAAATTAAATATACCCTACTGAAAATTAGCATACAAGTAAAATATTTTTGTTGTGAAAGAGTTCTAACAACCGCAGTTAGAACACGTAACCCAGACAAGAACTGACCCCTTGTTAGGATGCACGACAATAGCGCGAGGTCTGTTGAGGTTCTTAAGTAACACCCTGCGCGCGTTGGGGTTCTCAACGCTGATGACGTTGAGGGTTCCTTTTCTGCTGTCGATGTAGTACAAGTTCTGCGACACCCAGTCCAGCGACAGCCCCTCCACACCTTCGTTCTGTGAGGCCAGCAGCGTCTGACGACCTGCGGGCACACACCCAGTGAAAATTTACAGTCGCGTCAGCTTCTGATTTGGATTACCAGAAGCTGGGGCGACTCTGAATTTTGTTAGGGATGCATAAGCTTCATTCGGGGCCACAAGCCAGATGTACAGAGATAATAATTTTAGAAACATAGTAAAAATGAATTCATCGAAAGAATAACAATATTTGGCTTTTCTTTCTAACCATCTCCTGAAAATAAGGTTCTTTCTTCTCTCGGAATGCTGCTACGCGTTCCTTAACTTCCTGCAAATCCTTCTTCCCCGTCGATAATCTATTTTAAAATTGCATCTCTTTCAATAAGCGAAGCTAAAGCCATTTTTAAAAATATATTCCTCAACAAAATTTGTTTCGGATCCCAGATACCAAATGTTTGGACAAATTAGGTCCAAATTAGGTTTGGACCTAATTAGTTAGGTCCAAATTAGGTTTGGACCTAATTAGCTAGGTCCAAATTAGGTTAATTAAACTAATTAGTTAGAAATTAGGTTTGGATCCACAAATTAGGTGCTCATTAGGTACAACGTACCTCCTCCCTTCCTCTTGGTGCGGTAGATGACGTCGAGGCTGACGTCCGAGTAATAAATCCATTCCTTGTTGGCATCGAAGTCGAGTCCCACGAACCTGGCGTCTTTAGACACGATGGGATTCATGGCGTGCTTGAAATTCTCAGAGACAGGGTCCAGGACCTGACCCATGATGAACTTTTGCTGGGAATACATCAGGAATTCGACGACCACTGCGGATAACATCAATTGATATGTCATTAGGTGCGATGGAGATTGGAATAATAGGATAATGGGGAATATATCTAGTCCCATTATATATATATACATAATGAATGAAGACTCAATCTTAATTCACAAGCCGTGATACAATCAATCTGCCTGACGATAGTCAACATGTGTATTTTATTGTAAGCATGAGATAAATACTTCAAGGATCTAGGAAAGAATTCGGCAAACATAATGTTCAACTGAAGAGTACGGTATTCTTTCTGTATTAAAAAAATAAACTTCCTTCATCACCCAACTATGCAGAACTCATTTATAAGTCAATGTTCAATCAGGTCCATGAACTCATGCCCAGTATTTTCTATAATAATTTAGATAACTGACGTGAGCATCGTCGCAGGTCGTCGTTGAGCTGGTAGCCGATGTCGCAGGCACAGCGGTAGCCGATGCCGTTGGACGCGTGGGTGATGATGCAGAGGTGCTCGCAGCCACCGTTGTTGTTGCCGCACGGATTAGGTACTGAAGAGATACAATGGGGTGAAGTGATTAGGTTCTGAGGATGAGATACAATGGGGTGAACTGATTCGGTACTGAGGATGATATACAATGGGGTGAACTGATTCGGTACTGAGGATGACATGCAATGGGGTGAACTGATTAGGTACTGAGGAGATACAATGTGGTGAACTGATTAGGTACAGAGGAGATCCAAGGGGGTGAAGTGATTCGGTACTGAGGAGGAGATACAATGGGGTGAACTGATTCGGTACTGAGGAGATACAATGTGGTGAACTGATTAGGTACTGAGAATGACATACAATGGAGCGAACTGATTCGGTACTGAGGATGAGATACAATGGGGTGAACAAGAGATATTATACGGCATGCACGAGTGCAAGGGAAATGATAGTTGCGTATCCTACAGGAATGGCAGTCCAATAGAATCAGCAATGATGCCAGAGAGTGACTGATAAATTGTTGCTGAACGTAAAAATATGCGCAGAGAAAATAGGGTACACGAACAATCTATATTATTCTCGGCGACAATTGTGTGCAATGAAATACACCATAAATAATACAAAAGAAATAATTGGATTGAATCATTAATCTACTGCAGAAGACCTAACCAAATACTGCAGATTATCCTCTGTACACGTGCTACAAACACAACCTCACGGACCAGTTTCGTGAGACCACCACGAGTGGCCCATAACAAAAACAAATCATAAATTCACCAAAATTACGAAAACTTTACGAATAAAGAAAGCTTTGCAAGAACACACCTTTTGGCTGCATGAGCTCGTGCACAGCGCGGATGGCCTTAGGACTCTTGGTGCCGCTGGTGTTGTTGTAGACGCTGGACATGGAGTCTGTGCCGTTGAACTTGTCGATGCGGATGACGCCTTGCCGGGTGCTGTCCGTCCAGTAGACCTGGCGCTCGAACACCGTCAGGCGGTTGGGGGCCGGCACGTTCGTAGAGCCTGCGCACCCACAGACGAGTAGGGATACGTCAATGCAAATTATTTAGTATTTCAGTATTTAGAAAATTTTAGTAAAACAGACTGAATTCAGTTACTTTATTGTAAACAAATTTCAACGGCACGAGATAAAAACTAACTAGTCGAGATCCAATGTGCGTGATTCAGACCAAATCAAACCAATTTTCCAAATTGTTTACAAACTCTGCTGTTGAATTTGAGAAATGTTTTCCCCATTCACGATAAAATCATCGAGGTGACAGTGAATGACACATTTGAAGTTTATTAATCACACCAGCAAGAGCAGCCTATCTGCAACACATTACAATAAATGTCTTGCTGAGTCTTCAACATTCGTCACCGTACATATTAACTGCTTCAATCGTCAGTGCGGGAGGTGGGCTTATTGACGAGGCAGCATCCAAAAGAACCTCAAAATTCCGACTTTACGCCAAAAAACAACAGAGTTAATCAGAATTTAAACAACAGAGTTGATGAGAATTTAAACAACAAAGTTGATGAGAATTTAAACAACAGAGTTTATGAGAATTTAAACAACAGAGTTGATGAGAATCTAAACAACAGAGTTGATGAGAACTTAAACAACAGAGTTAATTGCAACAATACTACTGATAAAATGTACTACTACTGATAGAAGCAACAATACTACTGATAAAATGTACTATTACTGATAGAAGCTATATAAACAGTTGTTAAGAAGGTTCTAAAGGTCATATCAAACACCTAGGAAGAATACCGTAATTATGATTTATGTTTATTAATGCACCCTCGAATCACAAATGGTAGCACAAATTTGTCATAAATCAGCAAAATTTTGGGCGCTTCAATTCAAAAACTCAGGCGCTCACGACTAAAATAATTGCATAATTAATTAATATCAATTAAAATTAATATAATAGACCCCTGACCCTCTGGTGGGGTCCAGCCCGATGTCCTGCGGCTCAGTGATGTTGTTGGAGAGCACGATGGTGTGGTAGCTTTTGTTCAGGTCAAAAATATCAACTTTCTGCCCCAGGATATCGACGACGTAAAGCTTCTCTCCCACCCAGTCGAGGGCGATGGCTCCAGGCGTCAGGGACCCTGGCATGCTGATGGTGGTGTCGCCGGAGCTCGAGGAGCTGTTACGGGACATCTTCACCGAGTGCACCTGCTCGATATACACGTGGAGATCAGGAAAAATGATGAAATTTCGGTGATTCAATATCTTTGGCCATTATTGCAAAAAATGAGAAGATCAGGACTGTGACGTTTAAATACATATATATATATATATATATATATTCTTTCAAGCAGGTTTCATTGAAGACCAGAGAATTTGTTTTATGTTTTTATAATTATTATGGTCTTCAATGAAACCTGCTTGAAAGAAGAAATTCTGCCAGCCTATACTAATATATATATATATATATATATATATATATTAAATCTTGTGACAGTGACATCTTCACCGAGTGCACCTGCTCGATATACACGCGGAGATCAGGAAAAATGATGAAATTTCGGTGATTCAATATCTTTGGCCATTATTCCAAAAAATGAGAAGATCAGGACTGTGACGTTTAAATATTATTAAAATATTAAATGAGAAGATCAGAACTGTGACGTTATATTAAATCTTGTGACAGTGACATCTTCACCGAGTGCACCTGCTCGATACATAAGGAGAAATAGCAGGAGCGCGGACATAAGGAGATATGCTGAAATTTCTGTGATTACATTGCTCTTGCCATTATTACAAAAATGAGAAGATCAGGACTGTGACATTTAAATATATATTAAATCTTGTGGCAGTAAACGTTGCTGTATTGTGCATCGACAAATTTTCATTCATATTAATGACTTATATTTTTGATGTCATTTTCAGTTTCCCTTTAATAATTATTTATATGGTATCGATCTCGTCATCGGTTATGCTAAGACTAGAACCACTGTCTATTTAAACTTACTTGAAAATAACGAGTCTATAAAAAAACATTATAATGTAAATTCCAAACAACAGAAAAATAACAGAATCACATTTCCTATACCGTTTTACCATCAGTGAAATCAAAAGACTATATATGGCTCTCATATATATTGATGGTACCTAAATACCATAATAGTACTCATGGTGATGGTACTCAACTCATAAATATATCTCAAGATAGCTTGCATATTGCAGACCGACCTTCCGGGTCTCGGTGTCGGACCAGTACAGCGTGTCTTTACGGTAGTGGAAGTCCAGCCCCCAGGCTGAGGTGGTGTTCATCACAACCTCTGCTCTGCCGTTACTTTCATCTACGATCTGTGCGGTAAGTAAAAGCTTATACATGTAGCTTAATTCTACTTTAAAATTTATTATATGTTTATTAAAATATCATTGCATTAAGTTAAGATAATTTTTTGATATGAGCGGTAAATAAATGCTTATAGCTTACTTATACTTTACAAATTTATTATATGTTAATTGAAATATCATTGCATTATTTCAAGATAATTTTTTAGACATTTGAAGAGAAAACCTTCTTTGATTATAACGAAACTTTAGGCACAAAAAACAGTCCAGTAAAGTTTGAATAGCACTGTGAAGTTATAAATTTTAGAGCTTAAGCAACGTGAACTTTCTTTACACTCTTAAAACAAAATTGAGTGACAATAAGTTGAATAATTCAGATTTAATCCAGCCAGCTATCTAGACAGTTGTGTGATAGATTTGTTACTATAGCTACCACCTACACGGCAACATACCTTGTATATTCTATCGTGGTAAGTGAAGTAGATCCTCATAGGCTTGGTGAAGCGGTTTGCTCGACACGTGTTGCTTTTGTCGTCTCTTTCAAAGCCCACGACGCAGACGCACTTGTAGGAGCCGTTCGTGTTGAAACAAACCTGGTCACAAAAGCCCCACTCTTGGCACTCGTCCTTGTCTGCGGCCATAAGAACAAATGTTTAAAAAATATAACTCAGTAGTACTCACTGCAGTGAGTGACAGAGAGCGCATTTTCTCGTCGACGAAAACTTGAGGTCACGGACAGACGGACGGACGGACATACAGACAGACAGACGGACATGGCGAGCACAATAATGCATTTTTTCCATAAATGAGAAAATGCGCTAAAAATGCGTCAGGCAAAAAATATGAGTGTAAAAATGACAAACATTTAAAAAATCGCAATTAATTAAAAACAAAAGGAAAAAATACACAGTAACTGGAATTCCTGAATTAAATAATTGCAAGAGGCAACATAAAATGAGCGTATTATTTAAAAAACTGCTTTCTCAAATCACAATTAATAAAAGAAATAAATCCAGTTCAGTTCAGTTCGGTGGACATTATTGCTGGCGCTTCAGGTGGAGCTATCGGCACTGAATGTTGTGCGTCGCGAATTAAGGATCAGAAAGTATCACATGTATTATATGTTGAACAGATCATACGCTGAGGAATATATCTATCGCTTTCAGGTACTCTATGATGCGGTCTACGTTATGCGCTCCATGCTCTGGTGGGGCCAGGAAATTTTTTAGGTGAGCGTCGGGGTCAACTCGGGGTAAGTGAGGAAAAAATTGTCGTGGGGCACCTCCAAAAAATGGGCATCAGAAAGAAGGTGGATCTCTGTCTGTGGCATTTGGCAGTCCATGCAATAAGTAGCAGGCGTGCGTTCCATAGGAAAAAATAAGACAAGAACGCAGAGTAACTGAAATTTTGAAGTATCGTGATCCATAAGGTTTCGTGATATAGCTTCATTATATAGAAAAATGGAATATATAGATGCGTGGAAATGGAAAATACGTAGTTTTGTGTTGGGTAATAAATAATAATTTCGGGATTCGGTGCTGAGAAAAAAAATGTTCTCACTTCGCCTGTCGATTGAGAAATTGTAATCAGCTTATATTATGAATAAATAAAGACCGAGAACCAAATTTATCGAAAAATTATGTGACTTTGTATTCTTCAAATGACTTCAGTGTTATCTGTCCAAGTGATAGAATAACGATCATACGACACGATTAGTGAAAAACTGGCCAAGGGTAGTTGTAGTCACGCAAATAAATTTTAAAAAATCGCCTTTGGCAAGCCACCGCAGCTCAGATCAAAGCAAAAAATTATATAAGATCACAAAAGAAAGGCCTCTAAGGTTACCAACAAAGATTTGGTCTTTAATTCATTACGAACTAAATTATTAGCTCACCAACACAGGTCCTGGAGTCGTTGGCGACCTGCTTGCCACTGCCACAGTAGCACTCGCCGCCCACCATCGACGAGCGGCACGCGTATTCGCAGCTCAGACTGGGGCACAGCTCCGCGGCTGTGCCACAACAACACGCATTAGGCAATATTATTCAGTACGTGCGCTCCCGTTGTAATATATGGGTGAAAAAGTGAGAGTTGCTTTAAAAATATATATTAGATAAGTGTTTAAGCTTCAAAATAAATGAGAAAAGATGAGAGTTCGTTGTGCAGCTGCGCCACAACAACACGCATTAGGTAACTTTATTTAGTAGTACGTGCGCTATCATTGTAAAATATAGAAGAAAGAGTGAGAGTTGCTTTAAAAATAAATATTAATCTAGTGTTCAAACTTCAAAATACATGAGAGAAGGTGAGACTTCGTTGAGCAGCTGCGCCACAACAACACGCATTAGGCAACTTTATTCAGTACGTGCGTTCCAGTTGTAATATATGGTGAAAAAGTGAGAGTTGCTTTAAAAAAAATATTAATCAAGTGCTTAAGCTTCAAAATACATGAGAAAAGATTAGAGTTCGTTGAGCAGCTGCGCCACAACAACAAACATTAGGCAACTTTATTTTGTACGTGCGTTCCCGTTGTAATATATGGGTGAAAGAGTGAGAGTTGCTTTAAAAATATATATTAGATAAGTGTTCAAGCTTCAAAATACATGAGAAAAGGTGAGAGTTCGTTGAACGATCCATATTAGATACATTTTTCCTGCAAATACGCGAGATAGGGCGTGAGTTACTTAAAAAATCTACATTAGATACATTTTAAAGTTTCCAAGAAGAGTTGAGAATAAAAGAGCTCTCTGAGAAATCTCTTTCTAGAACGTTCTTCAGTTGCATGTTCGCTTTAGTAGCAGTTGGCAGGAAGCAAGCTCAGCATCCGTGCGCAGTACTGGCTTTACTGACAACCGATCCAAAAGGAAAAGACTCAATGCGAGCAGAAAAAATTGGGGATTGGGGAGCAAGATAAATATTGCACGGTAATTGGTCCGACACGAAAAAAATTGGGGAGCAAGATAAATAAACGGTAATTGGTCCGACATAGCAGTGATAGCACATTCACTCACAGCAAGCTGTCCGTTCATCAGAACCATCCTCGCAGTCCCGATTGTTGTCGCAGAGCTTCTCCTTGTCTATACACTTGTGTTCCTCGACACACAGGAACTTAGAGTCCGGACACAGGATGGCTTTACAGTGGAGCTCGTCGGAGCCATCGGGACAGTCGTTGTGACCATCGCAGCGCCAGCGACGCGGGATGCACAGCGAGTTAGCGCACCGGAACTGATCTTCGTGACACGCCGGGAACTCTGAGTGTTGGGTACAGGGCTTATACTTTCAAAAAAAGTTAAGAGATCGTAAGTTCATCAGCCAATCATTGACGGCCTTTCAAGCAAAATCCACCAATCATGGATAAGAAAATAGAGCGTAAGTACTTACGTTCACTTAGCGAGTTTTGAAAGTATGGCCCCAGGTCATTATAGTATGTGGAATGTATGTTGGAATTTGTAGGGACATGAAAGTGAGAGAGAAGCATGTGCTAATTTATTGGTCAATGAGAGTATTAGAGAAGAATGGGGTATTTATATGTTCATGAGATATGACAGAAGTGTGTTCTTATAATTAGCTTAATAAAAGTATGACGGATGAATGTTTCAGTTTATATTTTCATGAAAGAATATAGAAGCCTGCTTTAATTTTTAGGCTGATGAAAGCATTTGGTATTGAAGTATTTCATCAGTAGAGGACGAAAGCTATAAAAAGTGATTTTTTAGCACAGCTGCACCTAATAATTGAACTTTCGGCAATGATGAAATGATACGAAGACCTTCCCGAAGTTAATAAAATAACATATGATTTTCCCCAAAACATCACTCGCAGATAAGATATTCTCCCCAAAACATCACTCGCGATATGATATTTCCCCAAAACATCTCTCGCAGATAAGATATTTCCTCAAAACATCACTCGCAGATAAGATATTTCCCCAAAACATCACTCGCGATAAGTTATTTCCCCAAAACATCACTCGCAGATAAGATATTTCCCCAAAACATGACTCGCAATCAATACGGCGCAGCAGCGCACGCTGACACTCACGGCAATTCTTCTCGTCGCTGTTGTCCTCGCAGTCCTTACGGTAGTCGCACTTCTGGCTTTTCTTGATGCATTTCTCCCGGCAGCGAAACTTATCGTGGGCACAGGCAGTTTTATTACAGCCCAGCTCGTCGCTCTCATCGCGACAATCGAAGTATCCGTCGCATTTCTTGTTCGGCGGAATGCATAGGCCAGTGTCGGCACATTTGTGGTCGTCCGGTAAGCATTTGCGGTACGCTGCGGCAACACAAAGCAAGACAGCCCGTCAATCAGGAGTAAGCAATAGGGGCTTATACTAAAGCCTACATGTGCTACATGATATCAAGGTAATGGGGGAGACGTATCACTGCGACGGCAGCCACGAATAGAACGGGAGGGCAATCTTATAGAGGCGAGCCCAAAAGAATGTCGCAGCAAATTGAGGAAATCCGTCGTAAGATGCTAATAAAACTGCAGCAAATATTAAGCTCGGAAGTCGCCATCATCACATAAAATTTTCAACGGATATAACGAACAATTGACCAGCAATCAATATGGATTCAAATTCATAATATAACCATTGTGAAATAAAATCTATATCAATACTTAAATACGCGTATTAAACTAATAGTGTTTACAACAATGAAAAACCTGGGAATAAATAATAAAAAAAAATAGTATCACTGTATCTAGTAAAAGTGTACCTCATTTAACAAATTATTGATTACATGTTAGGCGACACTATGTCAATCAGAACGTGAAGTGTAGGTGGTTGGGGACATGCCAGGTGAATTTATGCCCATCTAAAGGTGAACTTCAACTTGTTGGGGACATATTAGGTTACGTTATGCCCACTTAAATGTGAGATGTAAGTGATTTGGGTCATATTAGATGAATTTATACCCATCTAAATGTGAAGTTCAACTTGTTGGGGATAAATTAGGTTACGTTATGCCTAATTGGATGTGAAGTGTAAGTGGACTACCATTCATATGGTATGAGAGGGAGGCAGCAACTCACAGCATCCCTGTTCGTCGGACTTATCCTTGCAGTCGTCGACTTTATCACAGCGATGGTACTGAGGTATGCAGAATGACTCATTCCATACGTATTTCTCGCACGTAAACTGCTCGGCTTCACACTCCGGAGGCGCTGTAAAATCACGCTATTAATTTACCTGGTAAACATTTATTGCCACGAAATTAGAAGTCAGAGCAAAAATTAGGATTTAGCCCCACGTTATCGATGGATGATTAGAAAGAAATTTGGCTACTGAGAGTCAAAATGACGGTCAAGTTCTCCTACGTTAAACTTAATGTTTTGGACACGTTACTACTGCATAAATATTGGATATTTAATAAGTCCAACATGGTGATTTGGAAATTTGAGTTTTACACCAAGAAAATAGAACTAGAATTATTTCGATTAAAACTTGAGTAACATTTGGATTCATCAAAGTGATTGATTTTTCAGACTCATCCAAAAGATAACTAGCGTTAAAGCAGCACTGGTTCATCGTGAAAATAATATTTTATTAAAGTAGAGCCGCCGTATCTGAGTGAAGCTGATTGGACAAATTAAAGTTCTTCCCAAAACTTTTCTTATCAAAGTATATTAGAATATTTTGCACGATAAAAAATTGCCTAATAAACATATTCACTTTATACAAAATAAAAGAAGTTGGATTAGCATAAAACTACAACGTACGTTACTAAAAGTAGATGAATCGATAAAAAGTAACAAAAAATTGCAATTTAACCCATTTAAAATAATAAGTGAAACACATTCAACTTTTTAGAAGTATCAAAATCATTTAAACTATAAATAATGCGCAAAACTTCGAAAATGAAAATATTTTTCTAAATTCTACAATTGCATGTAAGTATAATTCCACTGAATAATTAGAAAATCCAAAAGAACCACGACGCGTCCCCAAGCAGGGTCATGATTGAGAACGTAAGTAGCGTGACTGACGGCACTGCTGCTGCTCGTCCTCTGCGTTCTCGCAGTCCTTCTGGTAGTCGCAGACCCAGCGGCGGGGGATACAGTGGCCTGAGTCGCACGTGAACTCGCTCGATGAACAGGTCCGACCTGCCACTGCACAGAAAAAAACAACAGGTTAATAATAATAACTCAAATTGGATAATTCGTACGACGAGCAGGTCCGACCTGCCACTGCACAAAAACAGGTTAATATTAATAACTCAAATTGGATAATTCGTACGACGAGCAGGTCCGACCTGCCACTGCACAGAAAAAAAAACAACAGGTTAATAATAATAACTCGAATGGATAACTCGCACGACGAGCAGGTTCGACATTGTGCAGTGCACCTAACAGGTTAATAATAATAATAATAATAATAATAGCTCAAATTGGATAATTCGCACAACCAGTAGGTCTAACCTGCCACTGCACAAAAAAAGGTTAATAATAATAATTCAAATTCTATAATTCGTACGACGAGCAGGTTCGATATTGTGCAGTGTACAAAAACAGGTTAATGATAAGAACTAAAACTGGATAACTCGCACGACGAGCAGGTCCTACCTGCCACTGCACAAAAACAGGTCATAACTTGTACTTTAAACCAACGAGAAAAGTTTAATTTATCAAGTGCTTATTGCTTATACGTCTTACAGGAGCGCAAAGACCAGGGTTTCTCACCAGAGTGTTACTCATGCCAGCAACACTAGTATTCATTGGCATTTATCCGTATTTATTCATGCTCGCAACTTTTATTGTATTTTAAAGTTTTTCTATAACGAGTCAGCGCTACGGTAACAGATATCAATAATATAAAATAAATTGCAACTAATAATCAAATTTCAAAACGAATAATTTAAGGCATATTTTTCCATTGGTAATTTCATTGCTTGATATTCTCTATTGCTTCGTACGCTCAAGATAAATGTCAAAGTAAGTTGTACAATCAGCAAAAAATATTTGTTAACTTAAAAGTATAGAATAATCTTGCACGTAAATTCTACGCGCAAAAAATGCGAATAAGACATATCAGCTTCTCTCATGAAGATATATTCTACATGTGCGCGTGAGTGCAAGCCTGAATGCAAGAGTAAATATGCGTTTAAAATTATTTTTTAGAGACAACACTTCTAAATAATCCAGTGTCTCCGATGTTACACATGTACAATGAATTTCTAATTTTATTTCGATATATTAAAAAAATAATTTTCATAATTACAAAAATTAAATGTTCAAAGTTAATTATTCTGCCAATTGATTCATGCATTGTTTCCGACTTTACGCAAATGTGTAAAATTTCAGATCGATTGGACAGGTTGATTTGTAGCAGACAAACCACAAGAACTGAAGTTAAAGAGAAGTATTGTAAAACTAGAGGAGCATTTTATTTTCACATAAAAATATAAAATAACTATTAGGTTTCATAAAAGGATGACCATCATCAGAAAAGTTTTAAAATAATAATTTCACAACAAAGACTGGAAAAATAAGCGTCTAAAGTAAAAAAAATTAGGAGAGAGTTTGAAAGTTTCAATCAGCCCGCGTTTAGCAGCGTGACGATGCGATCACAATCAACGAAGGCGAGTCTATATATATGGGCACAGACAAGCCACAATATTATGCTTCAGGGTTTCGTTCAAATTTAATACATTAACGACAATATTAAAGCGAGGCGACCGAAATGTCCGATATGACACTGTCAGCCGGTCGGTATATATTGACCTGTGTAGCCGGGCGAACAGTTGTGCAACGACTGCACTTCAATGTAAAAAATAATGATGAGGAGGAAGGATTTGAGGTGAGTTGAATAATGGCGATGGATAAAAATTTTTTTCGTCTTGCTTGTATACGTTTATAGTTTGAGAAGGCAGAACAAAAACAATTTTCGAGGACGCGTAATGATCGCTTATCGACAAGGAGAGTTGTGGTGTATACAACAATATGATGTTACATGAGAACAAAACACTTGCACCTATACTGAGATGAAGAATAATCTAAATGTCACAACAGTTTTCACCCATTTAAATTCAGAGCCGGCGCGTGTAAAAACGATCACCAATATTGAGCTCTGATGAAGTTAGTGAAAACTTTCTTTCATCAATTTGCAAATAAGATAGCGAGTTTCCATAAGCCGAAAAGACCAAATAGCTAATTACGCATTCTTTTTAAAAAAATTGGATCTGAAACACATCTCAATTACGCGCCGTCGCGACACCAAAAATAGCTATAACCGCTGCAACTCAAACGCGCTTTCAAACACGTCTGCCTCGCACGTCACGCTCCGACACTCGTGCATCTTAGGTACGTGACGCCGTCCATCACACGTCGCACTCTGTTACGTGATAGCACAGCACGCGAGTTCCCTGGCTTCTTTAGCCAGCGTTGCTGTAAACCAACGTCTTGACGATGGGTCATTGCTGTACTACTTAACTTCATCGTGTATCATAAGTGATACAAGCCAAAGTTTTTTGTCTGCAAGGTAATCAGGCTACTTAATTGCCTGTAGGACTCCTTGTATCAAGTACGATTACACGAGTCAAACGAGAATAAAACGTGTTAACAAAACGGTAAACATGAACGCCAGTGAGCGACTAGGCGTGGTCTCTACAAGGAGGGCACTTATAGGGGTTAAAATTTAAAAATAATATACGTGGATTTTCTTCCGTCAAATAAATCGTAGAAGCACAGAAAGAAGGTTGATTGCGCACTGCAGTCTACGAAGATTCAGCAAAAAATATAAACTCATCACTACTCATGTCATGTCACTCATCGGTCACTCCTGCTTTAAAAGCGTCTCTTAAGCTTCTCTTTAGCAACGAACAACTTTCTTGAACTTTTATTAAATACCATTGAGCTTCGGCTCACTTCCTTTTACGCTTGGTATTGAAATTAAAAATTATTTAAAAATTTATTTTAAATTTAATAAATTTAATTTAATTAAAGTGATTTAAATTATTTCATGAATTATACGAGAGAACGAGAGCACATTATACTGACCAGCTATCAAGTAGATTGCGGTCTCAGATCAGGTATTTTTTCATTCGGCTGTGCAAACATGCATTCGAGTCCACGCTAGCCCAGTAATTGTCTTCGCTCGGTTGGCAGAATTACAGGAGCTAATACTGCACACTTATTGCATTATGTGGATGTTTAGAGTGGGGTTAGTCACGTGCATGGGGAAGTTTAGAGTGGGGTAGTCACGTGTATGGGGAAGTTTAGAGTGGGGGTAGTCACGTGCATGGGGATGTTTAGAGTGGGGGTAGCCACGTGCATGGGGATGTTCAGAGTGGGGGTAGCCACGTGGATGGGGATGTTCAGAGTGATGTAGTCACGTGCATGGGGATGTTCAGAGTGATGGTAGTCACGTGCATGGGGATGTTCAGAGTGGGGGTAGTCACGTGCATGGGGATGTTCAGAGTGATGTAGTCACGTGCATGGGGATGTTCAGAGTGATGTAGTCACGTGCATGGGGATGTTCAGAGTGATGTAGTCACGTGGAGACCAAAAGCCCCTCCAATTACCCCCTCCATCTGCCGTCCCGCTGGAGCGCGGCTGCTAGAGCACCACCGCATGTACATTCGAGGCTCCGCCCTTCCGCTAGTCTGATTCTTCTCTAGCGCCATAATCCCATTGCAGTATTTTTGGTTTTATATTGACGACAAATGCGGTTTGTTGAGAAAATTGAGATTACAGCAAAAAATGAAAAGATGCTCCAGCTAGTATCACGATATTTCCCTCAGACGATGTGATGTGATTTAATTCCGTGGTCACGTTATTTTTAAAGGGAGAAAACGCTCTTTGAATTTGTGTTTTCCGTCTCAGTCCTTTAAACTTCAGAATATGACATAATAATGAATATAATGTAAATAAATCGTTAAAATAATTATCTCGAATATTCAAAATCATATAAATTAAAAGTAGTTTGGATTCAGCTTATTTGAACGTCAGATGAAATGCTAACAAAATTGAAAACGTCCACGGCTTCGATGCGACAATAAAGTTTCATTTTGTGGTATACAGTAATTCCACCGCTGCAACCTAAGTTTTCTTAAAGCCCCTCAAGTCATTTTACCTATACTGAAAAAAAAAATTATTTTGATCATCAATTCGAATATGTTTCCCACTTACCACTCATAAGTAAACCAGCCGTAAAATGCGGCCGTTTTGTGAAAATTATTAATTGAAACATAATTATGATAAATTTTGATAACAAGACAGATAATCAACTTATTACAATTCCTTTTTAAATAAAATAACGATCATCGAACGCTATGAGTTTCTTTTGAAATATCGATCGTGATGTGTATGCCTGTTTGGCAGCCGTGCAAAACTTGCAGAGCTAAATAAAAAAATGTCACAAAAATCTCATTTGCAGATGAGGATATCGATTCAAAAGAGATATTCAAGGTTACTAAAATATTCTAACGGATGGATATAGCGCGAGATATTCGCGCTCGTGCAAGTAAAGTCTCCAGGCAGTGTACGCTGAGCAGAAGCAAAGTACAATGCATATAGCAAAATCCTGGTGCTAGGTCTTATAGCGGTATCGTAACATGGATGTTTAATGCAGCAACCTTGTAAAAATGACGGACCATGGCTGTCGAACACATTCAGCACAGTAAATGTGCGGCATTATCGTCAAAATTACATTTTTTATTGAAAAATTTTTTTTTCACTACCGTAAAGGAAATATAGTTTTCTAATTTCCAGTATTAAAAATCATACAAATATTTCGGAGAATTGAAGAACTATCAAGAAATATTCGACTAGACTAGGGTAGCGAGTCTCGTTTAGATGCACGTATACACACCACGAACAATTTGTTATACACAAAGCGAATGATAGCATAGCAACGTCGGCCGCAGGAGTGTGCTCGCTGCTGACTCTGAGGGACCAATTAACTGGGCAGCAAGACCATCTTCAAAACACAATCAATTTCCTCTTCAAAAACGTGATTTATTTAAAAATTATAAGGAATAAATTTATAAAGAATGAATACCGCAATTCTTGAAATAGTAAAGAAAAACAAATTTAAAAGGAATGAATCTCCTAAGTCAATGAATATTTTTTTTCGAAACAAAGAATCAGGTAACATCCTTCCAGCAATGTGAGTAGCAGCAACTTCTCGCTGAAAATGACAAGGCTTTACAATTTCTCTACTCGACATCCGGGTGTAGCTACGCTCATGGGTATTTCTTGTTTCAATATCTTTCGAGCAAGCAGGCATGAAATACCAAAGGCTTTAGCTCCTACTAAATGAACTTCCTAAGCCTTGTTTAGACTGGAGTATGACGCTTATTGTGCAACTGCATAAAAATGACCAGCCAGCGATTGCGATCAACCGGAGAAGAGACGGCGACGTTGACAACGAAGATGATGTTTGCAAAAATTTTACAATATCAAGGTGAACTTGAATGAAGTTTATCTTATCGGCGTTGGCTTTGTTAGCAGTTTCACAGGCTTCTTTGGCGTCGTCAGAGAGCTCTAAAGTCGAGCAAAAAACGGCCATCATTTTTAGCAGCGAAGATAGGCAGTTCCACTTTATAATGATATCAAGTCAATTCACACTTGAGTATGATTATCTCCGAACAGCTCAGTTTAATGAATTCAGCACTTGTAAAAGCCAGGCACTTTAATGGATCTTCTTGATATTTGCGTTCCGTCACTTACATCTGCATGGGGAACACACGCTCAAG